AAAACTAGGCACTGTTTAAACATTGTTTTTAAGAACGCGGTGGTGGACCTCCGCCTATGCGCACACCGCCAACGTGGAAGCGGAAGCCTCAGGCAGCTTTCAAGCGGGGAGGGGGTTTAAACTGGAAGTGGCTCGACACTGGAGGAGTGATTAGACGTCAGAAAAGTGCGTCTGGAACTGGAGAATCAGAAAAACACCACTTGGGGACCTGGTATCAAAATACTCCGGGTTAAAGCAGTTTTGAGCCGGAAAGCGACGGCTGGGGACGGGAGGCAGATGTTGACTGTGTGATCGCGCAGATAAAATCCGTTTCTGAGGCGGGCCAAAAGCAGACTAAATGGCCCGTCTGAATGCACCCTTCACGTTTCAGCCTCTTTTAACCAGGGATATGCAGACTCTCTTCTCCCTTATTTTCTGTTCTGGTGGACTTCTGGCAGCACAGGAAATGTTTCAGAACATATGTGCAAAACAGCAAAAGTGAGACACAGCAATGAAACAAAAGAGGCAAAAATAAAATTCTTTTGAGCTTAATGTTGCTTTTCTGCAGACGCATCCAGTGTTCAAGCAGGAATAGAAGTGCCTTTTGCTTTTAAAAAAGGCCCTACTTCTCAGGAAGGGGGAAAACAACACTCATCTCTTTATTTATCTGAGCAGTTTAAATGGAGAGCTCAAAGGAAGGAAAAATATTTCTTCCAGGGAGTCTTTGAAAGAATGTAGACGCTTTTTAATTAAAAGCACATTTTCCAGCTCCATATAGGGCCACTGATTCACTCATGGAGGAAGGCAACTTGAATGTGTAAGCCTTGTAAAAATATTTGTTATTTTTAAAAGTCTGTGACATGTTTTCACCAGCATAGAGTCTGATTTGGCCCTGGTCTGGAAACACTGCCCTCTAGAGGGAGGGGATTTCTACAGAGAGGCTGAGTGAGTGGTTGCCTGGCAACAGGACAAGAGAAGGAGGCGGTGGATTCCCAAGATGGAGAAGCAGGGAGAGAAGGGCCGGAGGCATTTTCCTCCTGAGGGTGGGGAGAATGTCTAAAAGAAGAAGCTCCTGAGGAGAAAAGACTCTGGTGATGGAGAAAGAGAGTTGGCAGAACAGTGGTCCTCTCTTGGCATGGGTGTTTGACTCTTAAAGGTCTTCCTTCTGTTTTCACCCTGACTGTGAGACTGCCTCAGTGTAATGTGTTATTCACACAGTATAATGTATTATTCACACACAAGCTCCCAGCTCTCAACCCCGCCTTTAAATAAAAGCTATTTAAGTGCTGTGCAGGAGGTTTTGAATGGGCCATCCACAGTTCTGTGACCACGAACATGGGCCTTTTACAGCCACAAGGGTTACAAGTCAGTGTTCCCTCTAAGCTGAGTTAGTGTGAGCTAGCTCACAGGTTTTTAGCTTCCGGCTCACACATTTTTGTCTGAGCTCAGGAAGGACGACTCTAAAGGAAACGATGCAGGAGCCAAATCGCTTGCCCACAACTATCAATGCCAGTAGCTCACAAAGTAGAATTTTTGCTCACAGGATTCCACAGCTTAGAGGGAGCACTGGTTACAGTGGTAATTGCTGCCGCCAACAGTCTGAATATCTCCTGCTGGAAGGATCTGTCGCTTCCAGCAGGAGATATTCTTTCGCATTCGTTAGTGGCAGCAGTTCTTACTCAGAGAAAAATTGTTATTCCTAGGAGGAAGGGAAAGGGTTGCCTTACTGGGAGGAGACCCAGGATGGCCACAGGACTTTTCCAAGCTCCTGGACAAGTGGGAACAGGGCTTCTGAGACTGTTCGCTTACATTTGGTGTTAGTGGTAGGATGCCATTGTGTGTGAAGGAGCACACACGTACTTCTTCTCAGCAGGTTAGGCTGAGAGCGGGTAACAGGTGTAAGGAAACCCAGCACGTTTCGATGGCAGGGTGGAGATTCAAACCAAATGTGAATCCAACGCTTTAACAACTATAGCAACACTGGCTGTCATGTCAAGTAGATATGTTGGAAGGAAGGGTGTGTGATTCTTCGTCCTCCAGTTTCTGAGGTAGCCGTGTTGGTCTGCCGTAGAACAGCTAGATTAAGAGTCCAGTAGCATCTCAGAGACCAACAAGATTTTTCGGGTAGAAGCTTTCAAGAGTCAAAGCTCCCTTCATCAGACCACAAGGATGTTGCCGCCATTTTGAAGTCATTTAAAAATACCACAAGTGACATTTGCTACCTTCCAGTTCTCAGGAATGGAGGCAGATTTTAAGGAAAGATTACATATTTTTGTCAGGAGATCCACAAGTTCACATTTGAGTTCTTTCAGAACTCTCGGATGTATGCCATCTGGGCCTGGTGATTTATCAGTTTTTGTCTATCAGTTTTAAGACCTCCTCTCTCGTCACCTCAATCTGACTCAGGTCTTTCAACACCCCTCCCAAAATCAGCGGTTCTGGAGTGGGCAAGCACTTCTCATCTTCCACAGTGAAGACAGAGGCAAAAAATGCATTTAGCTTCTCAGCCATTTCCCTATCATCCTTCAGTACTTCTTTTACCCCTTGGTCATCCAAGGGCCCCACTGCCTCCCTGGCTGGTTTCCTACTTCTAATGTATTTGAGGAAAGTTTTATTGTTGGTTTTTACGTTTTTTGCTATATGCTCCTCATATTCCCTTTTTGCATGCCTGACCTCAGACTTTCATTTTATTTGCCATAGCCTGTGTTCCGTTTTATCAGCCTCACTGTGACTAGCTTTCCAACTGCTTAAAGGAATCCTTTTTACCTTTTACAGCTTCCATTACTTTGTTTGTTAACCATGTAGGCTTTTTCTTATACCTGTTTGTGCCTTTCCTAACCTGCGGAATATATTTTATTTGAGCTTCTAGAATTGTAGTTTTAAACAGTTTCCAAGCTTCCCCAATGGTTTTGACCCTTTCTACTTTTCCCTTCAGTTTCCTCCCCACATGTCCCCTCATATCAGAAAAATTACCCCTTTTAAAGTTAAAAGTGGTTGTGTGAGTCTTTTTGGCCAATTCCCTATTTGTACAAATGTTGAACTCAACAACATTATGATCACTGTTTCCAAGCGGTGCAATCACTTTTACATCTCTCACCAGGTCTTGAGTGTTACTTAGGACCAAATCAAGGATCGCCTCTCCCCTGGTAGGTTCCATGACCATCTGCTCCATAGCACAGTCATTTAGAGTGTCTAGAAACTCAATCTCTTTCTCTCGACTAGAACACATATTGACCCAATCAATGTGTGGGTAGTTAAAATCACCTATTACGACACAGTGTTTTTGTCTAGCTGCTATCTTTAATTCATTCATCATTTTATAATCCTCCTCTATCTTTTGATCCGGTGGGCGATAACAAACTCCCAGTGTTAAGTTTCCTTTTGGCCCCCCTATTTCAACCCATAGAACTTCCAGAAGCGAATCCAATTCACTTAGCCTCTCAATCTTTCTAGACTTTATACCCTCTCTGACATACAGAGCCACCCCACCTCCAACCCTTCCCCCCCTATCCTTCCGATATAATATATAACCGGGAATCACCGTATCCCACTGATTTTCCTCATCCCACCAAGTTTCTGAAATACCCACAATGTCTATTTTTCCCTCTGACACCAAGCACTCCAACTCCCCGATTTTACCTCGGACACTTCGAGCATTTGTATAGAAACAGCTGTAATTTCCCATACTGGTTAAGCCTGCCACCTTCCTCTTGCAATCTCGAGACCTTGTCAGGCAGTCCATGTCACTAGCCATGGTCTCAGTGGACAATTTCAATCCACCTCCCTGTAGAAAAGCAACAGGTACCCCCTCATCTCTCTGAGATGAGCCAACCCGAACCAGAGACTTTTCATCTCCTGTCGGCTTTCCCCCAATATTCAGTTTAAAAACTGCTCTGCCACCTTTTTGATTTTAAGCGCCAGCAGCCTGGTTCCTTCTCGGGACAAGTGGAGACCGTCTCGCCTGTACAGCTCCCTCTTGTTCCAAAAAGAATCCCAGTGCCTAACAAACCTGAACCCTTCCCCTCTACACCATCGTCTCATCCACGCATTGAGACTCCTGATCTGTGCCTGTCTCTCCGGCCCTGCGCGTGGAACAGGTAGCACTTCTGAGAAGGCTACCTTGGAGGTCCTGGCCTTGAGTTTCCTGCCCAGCAGCCTAAATTTCTCCTCCAGGACCTCACGACTGCATTTCCCCACATCGTTGGTGCCGACATGCACCACGACCACTGGCTCCTCCCCAGCACTATCTACCAGCCTATCTAAAACACGCGTAATGTCCGCTACCTTTGCACCAGGCAGGCAAGTCACCATACGGTCAGTACGCGGGTTCGCCACCCAGCTGTCTACCTGCCTAAGGATCGAATCACCCACTACCAAGAGCCCCCCTCCCACCCTGCCCAGGGATGGTTCCTTGGTGCAAAAGGATAACCGCTCACCAGCTGGGGAAGAGGTCCCTTCTGAGGGCACATTCCCCTTATCCTCAGCACGGTGCCCTGTTTCCCCTAGACCCTCATGCTCCCTGACAGCAGCGGGGCTGCCAGATCCAGAGTGGGACGTAGCTAACAAGTCCCCGAGAGTCTTTTCTGTGCGCCTAGCTGACTGTCTCTGCTTCTCCAGGTCAGCCACCTTGGCCTCAAGGGAGCACACACGTTCCCTGAGAACCAGGAGCTCCTTGCACCGAGCACACACCCAAGACTTCTGCCCAGTGGGCAGATAGTCATACATGTGACACTCTGTGCAAAACACTGGATAGCCCCCAACCCCCTGCTGGCATTCTGGCTTCATAATTCTTTTAAAATAAGTAAATGTAATCCCCCTTTTAAATCCCTTTGTATTTATGTGTTTTTTTCTTGTCAAAGTCAAATTACTTTATGGGGAAAACAAGGAGCCTAGGGTTTTCACTTTCTGCCTCTTCTTGGGCGTCTCACAGAGCCCCTAGTCCAAGAGTCCCTGGGCTAAGAGCCACGGACTGTTGCTTTCCAGAGTCTTGAGATTTCCTCTTCTTTTTTCCCCCTTCACAGACCCTTTGATTTTGTTTCGATGTTCAGCAATCGATGGCCATTTGGTTTTGCATTTGGAGCGACGGCTGACAAACTGATGTTCCTGTTTACACAAGACTTCCCCCAACCGACAATGCCTAACTGGGCTAGAGGTAAAAAAACATGGCTTGAGAAGCAATGGGGGAAGAGGGGACGGAGCAGGGTTTTCTTCTCTGATGAATCTGTTAATCCTCCTGTGCTCAACTGGGTTCTACAATATTGCGTTTATGGAGGGCTGCTTTGGAAAATATTATTGAAACTGGAAATCAAGTTGGCTGGAAGAAGCTGGGAATGGGGCTTACTTTGTGTGTGTGGATTGGGAATACCTGGAAAACAAGCTGTTGGGGGGGGGCATTTGCATGAGAGAATAAGTAGGTGGGGCAAGAGAAAGCACCTCTTCCTACCCACTAATTCTCTCCTGAAAATGCTGTGTTTGTTTTTCAAGGGAGTCTGAAATGTCTGTATTTGCATTTATGTGTTGTAATTTCTACGCAGAAGTTAGTTTCATGTGGGAAATTCCACATATTGGTTTATAGCATGTGACGATCCTGCACATGTATGAATTACTGTGTGTTGACATTGAGATTCAGCTGCCTTGTCAAAATTGATGTGCATTTAGGAAAGTCAAATGTTGCGATCCTTCTGTGGTACTAATAATTTTTCTGTGATGAAGATCACAGGGTGTCTGTTGTGGGGAGGGGAAGGGAAAGGAGTTTGTAAGCTGCTCTGAAGGGCGGGGTATAAATCCAGTTCCTCCTCCTCCTCCTCCTCCTCATCTTCTTCTGTTTCCCAAATCTGCTCTCCTCCAATCTTTTTGGAAGACCACAGTCCAAGTGCACTGTCACACCATCCAGACAGAAAGATGCACATTTTCTTGCCCTGAAAAGATCCCACCCACATCTGTGCCATTTTCCTTGCCGTCAGCTCCTCACAGACATTTTCTCCACTGTACCACCCATTGGGGAGAGAGGTGTGGTATAAATGAAGGACATAAATACGCAAGTAGATGGGATTTCAGGGGGCCATGTCAAAGAAAAGGGAGAACCAGACAACGAATGCCGCCTGCAGGCCCTTATCTAGCCACTCACCCCAGCATTTGAGAGTCTGGGACTACTGAAGGCTTGCTAAACAGATCCTGCAGCCAATCAGATGATAGCTACTCACAAGCAGCAAGCATGAGACTGAAGCACTGAATTACACAGAGCTAGGAAAGACCAAGGGCTGTGGCTCAGTGGTAGAACACCTGCCTGGCATGCAGAAGATCCCAGGCTCAGTCCTCAGCGTCTCCGGCTTAATGGATCAGGTAGCAGGTGATATGAAAGCCAGCCCTGGGGACCCAGAGAGCTGCTGCCAGCCAGAGTAGAAAATACCGACTTTGATATACCAAGGCTCTGACTCAGTATAAAACAGCTTCATGTTTTCACAGCTTTCGAGGTAGGGGTCACGGCTCAGTGGTAGAGAGCATCTGTCTTCCACGCAGAAGTTCTCAGGTTCAATCCCCAGCATCTCCATCTAAAAGGCTCCGATAGCAGATGACGTGAAAGCCTTGAGACCCTGCAGAGCTGCTGCCGGTCAGAGTAGACAATACCAACCTTGATATACCAAGGCTCTGAATCGGTATAGAGCAGCTTCAGCTTGGGGGCTCAGTTCTGAGATTCCAGAGCTTAACCAAAAGATGGTTGAATTTGCTGACTTGGAGAGCAAAGACATCCTCTTTTGCCTTCTAGGGCTAACACAGGCTAGGCTGTACTAGGAACGGTACCATTTTGCAGAGACTGTAAAGACAACCAAGAGCCCAAACAGACATTCCAGCTCCCCTTCTGCATCTTCTGTTTACTTACTGAGGGTGTCATTTTGGAGTAAACTTAAGCAGTGGAGAGAGGAGAAATGTCAATTAACAAAATATTCCATATGAGGGAACTAAAAGGCAGCCAGACCTCCAATTGGCAGGAAAAGGGCTCATTTTCTTAGTGTCGAAGGTGTAGAGTTGTATGACGCAGCCCTGGATTCCCTCCTTACAAGAGACCTTACAAGAGATCTCCAGACAGACAGTTGAACAGAGACATTGGATGTTATAAATAAAATGACTTTATCCAAAGAATAGTAACAAGCTTACATCAGACATTTTTTTGGTGAACATATACAACAAACTTGCACTGGTCAGTTCGTTTCATGGGTCACAACTGTCTTTCGAGCCACTAGTTGCTCAAAATGTATAACAACATCTTTTGACCTGTGGTAACATTTCCAATTTATACAGACCAAATATCTCCAATTCTTAATTTCTAGATTAGGGATTCCTACTACCAAGATGGTTTTCAGTAACCTAACATCAAAGACAGGCTGTATCAGTTTAAGAGTATATTGGCAATAGATCAGCTTTACTTACAGTAATGACAGGAGAGGATATTAATGCACAACCCCAGTGAGCTACAGTAGCTGTTCTATATGAGATTGGGGAGTAACGATGGTTTATGCAGCTGTTGGGAGAACAGAATCAAGCCATGCTCCCTTGCAATTCTTTTTTGTTACAGTCTTTTGGATTATGCTCATCGCCATTGAAGTGGGCTTCTCCTCGTATCCTTTCTTTGCCTGCCTTTCAACGAATTACCAGAGAACTGGAGCCATCCTGGGATGCCTTTATTCACTGAGCTGGTGAGCAAAGTGTTAGTTGGAGATACTGGCATAAGTGCCACTTATGGAGACTGTGAGGTGTTCCACTGCAAGAGAACCCAAGGGTGTCTCTGGAAAGCTACTGGTGGTTACTGCCAGAATTGGGCAGAATGATACAGGATTTCCAATTGTGAACATCTTTTTTTGCCACTTCCCGGCAGGATTGCATGCAGACTTCCTTGGGATCAAGGCAGCCAGACACAGAACCATGAATCCTCAGCCAGAATTTTGAGTCAGACAGTGACTTACCCCTGACAGTCCTTACCCCTGCCAATGAATAGGAATTGCCGTTTGCTAACTTACTTTGGCCTTCCGTCTCAGGCTTTAAAAAAAACAAAATAGTTCTTCCCTCACTCTTCCCTTTGTTCAAGAGAAGAACAGATGCTGCCAGAATAGGCAATTGCCCATTTTGTGTGTGCTTCTAAGAGCTGATGGTGCCCCTGGGTGAGGATGGGTCAGTGTCAATGTTCCCTCTAAGCTGTAGAGTCCTGTGAGCAAAAATTCTACTTTGTGAGCCATTGGCATTAAAGTTGCGATCAAGCAGTTTGGCTACTGCATAAATTAGTTTGCTCAGGAAGCCATCCTTCCTGAGCTAAGACAAGAATGTGCAAGCTGGAGGCTAAAAAACTGTGAGCTAGCTCACACTAACTCAGCTTAGAAGGAACACTGGTCAGTGTGCAGTGGCATCTTGATGGTTTCATTTAGGACTCTCACGGGCTGGGGTGCCAGTCAAAGGGAGTCCAGAACAGGCCAAGGTCAGGAGCCAAGAAGACAGCGCAAAGTCCAAAAAGCCAAGCCGGGGTCAGGAGCCAGGAACACAGAGCCAAGTCCAAAGCCAGGGGGTCCGAAGGTCTAGGTGCCAGAGCCGAGCCGGAGTGGATGCTAGCAGCACGAAGCTGACTTGTTGCTTCCCCGAAGAATACTGCCCAGAGTGTGGAGTTAAATGCTGCTACCGATTAGCCAGCTGCACGATCGGCCAGGCTCCTGTTAGAGCTCTGGGCTGGCTGAGCGTGTTCCCTGTAGCCTGGCCTCTCTTTGCCGCAGTCGCTCCCTTAAACGAGTCACACGTGGGGGTGAGTCAGGAGGACTTTCAGCTTGTAGCTCTACTGGGGCCAGGTGTGAAGACTGCTGTTACTGGCACTTGTCACCTATCCTCCTCTGCTGCTTCAGAGGGGCCAGCTGTGGTTTCTGCAGGCTCTGTCAGCTCATCCTCATCCATGCCCATGACAGGACTGCCATTTGATTAACGTGGTCCTAAATTACGATGTTAAATTTTGGCTTTATGGGTTTTTTTAACGTAATTTGTGTATTTTATCAATATTGTAAGCTGCCTTGGGCTCCATAAGGAAAAAAAGGTGGCTAATACATATATAATAAATAAATAAAATCTTCCCCTGCTCTCTGGGAGCATGCAGTGAATTAGTGGATTGAAGGAGTGACTTAGGGTTAGGGCTTCTGTCCACTGAAGGCACTGCTGGAAACTGCTGATGTGTGGACAGTTTCGAGCTCCATGTGAAGGGGGCCGTGTGTGTGTGTGGAATGTTCAAGTCAGAATTGAGCGGCCTCGGAAAGAAGTCATTGAGAAGAGGTTTTCAGACGGGAAGAAAGGATGATCAGTCCCCAAACTAGTAATTTTATCGTTGCTGATGACAGCACCCTGCATTGAGTATTGAGGGGAGTCTGCATGGGCGGGCAGGAGGATATCCATGTGGATCCATTTGGAACACTGTTATGTGGGGATTCAGCCATGGAAGTCTTGCTTAAGAAAAGTGCAAATGCATATTCTGTGATTGCTACAACTTCAAGGGTTCTCAGCAACTCCATTGTTTTGTGGTTTTTTTGCAGGTTAATAGTCATGCTCATAGATGTTGGTCAGTGCCCTCATGGAGACAATAGTGTATGTATGTAATTATGACTGGTTTTTTTCTAATGAATATTGCATGTTCTGAAAGCGTATTGATACAGCTACCTTGGGAAAGCTGCAGAGGTCAAGGTCAACATGGAGAAATAATGTGAATACTAACATATTTGCTTTGGCCTTAGGAGAGCTGCCTGAGGGCTGTTGTACTAGTGAACCCCAAGTGCTGATATTTAATATGAAAAAGAAATCCAAGTATTTCAGCTTCGTAAAGTTGTGGATTTGGGTGATCAGCAGCAGAGGCAGGGCCTCCTATTGTGACTGTCTTGTTAGGTATACGGTACCTAATTTCTCCTCCTGCTGTCAGCATCTCCCAGTACTGTAGGCTGAATGATGTTAACTAGAACCTCTAATGATAATGGCATTTTGATCATTACCTTTTGTGTTTGTAGAGTGGGAAGGCAGGTTATCAGTATTCAGATGGGGAAAAAAAATAAAGGTTAGCCCTTTCCACTGAAGTGCCTCCTTGGGGGCGCCTGGCAAGAGAGCTGTGCACTGATCCTGTGCTGGTCCCAGGTTCTTGAATGAGAGTGTTTGCCCGACAGAAGACCCAGACTGACCCAGTACCTGAATGGGAAAGGTGGCATCAGAACAGATGAAGAAGCAAACCAATTATCCTGAGTCATTTTATCTTCCCTGTATGTATCACTTCCAGGCTCATGCCTGCAGAAGAACTGCTGCCCTATGTGTGTGGATTGAGGTGTCTTTAGATAGGTAGCTGCCATGAGTTTGTTTGTTTATTTCATTCCATTTGTTGATCGCCTATCCCCACAGTTGTGGGGCTCTGGGTGCTGTACAGAGTACTAAAAATATAAAAGCATAAGCATAAAACCAAGCCCAACAACATACAGTAATTAAAACAAGTGGCAAACATTTTGTAGCTCCCTCCCCTGTCTTGTCTGTGGGTGCTTCACGTGTTCAGGGGGGAGTAAGCTCTGTAAGGAGTAGGGGTCCAAGTAGTGTGCCAGCCATGATGTTTAATTGTTACTGTCTTCAACCGAAGGCCTGGTGGAACATCTCTGCCTTGTGGGCCCTGTGGAATTGCATAAGATCCCGCAGGGCCCTGATGTTTCTTGGCAGAGAGTTCCACCAGGTTGGAGTCAGGACCGAAGGAGCCCCGGCCCTGGTCAAGGGCAGTCAGATCTCTCTGGGTCCAGGGACGACCAGTGAGTTGTTCTGTGAAGAGCGTAATGCTCTCCCGAAGGAGCCCCGGCCCTGGTCAAGGGCAGCCGGATCTCTCTGGGGCCATGGACGACCAGCAAGTTGTTCTGTGAAGAGCGTAATGCTCTCCCGGGGGTGTAACGGAGGAGGCGGTCCCACAGATATGTCGGTCCCAGACTGCTCAAGCCCTTGAAGGTCAGAACCAGAACCTTGGACTTGACTCAGTGCTCCACTGGAAGCCAGTGCAGCTGGCACAGCATAGGTCGGATATTCGCAGTCAGTGGCGTTCCTGTTAGGATGTGCACTGCCACATTCTGGATCAGTTGGAGCTTCTGGGTCAGTCTCAAGGGCAGGCCAGTGTAGAGTGACTTACAGTAGTCTAGCCTGGAGGTGACCATCGCATGGGTTACTGTGGCTAGGTGGGAGCATGACAGGAAAGGGGCCAGCTGCCGGGCTTGGCGTAGATGGAAAAATGCCAGCCTGGCTGTGTGTGTGACCTGGGCCTCCATGTTAAGTGGGCATCCAGGATCACACCCAGGCTCCTGACAGACTGCACCCATGTTAATGGCGCCCCGTCAAGAGCCGGTAAGCTGAACTCGAGCCCTGAAGCCCCTCCTGCCAGCCACAGAACCTCTGTCTTTGTCGGATTCAGTTTCAGTCTGCTCTTTTTTTAATCATCCCACCACAGCCTCCAAATCCATGGCCAGATTTTTGGGGGCGACATCCGGGTGGCCGCCCAAAAGCAGATGCAACTGGGTGTCATCAGTGTATTGGTGACTCCGAGCCAGCTGGGCAAGGGGGTGCATATAGACGTTAAACAACATTGGGGGCAGCACTGCAGCACTGCCCCTTGAGGCACACCACATTCCAGTGGGTGTCTCCTGGACTGATGCGCCACCCTCTGTCCCTGACCATGGAGGAACGAGGTAAGCCACCGAAGGGCTACCTTGCGACCTCTTACGTTGGCAAGGCGGTGGATCAGGAGGTCATAAGCAATCATGTTGAACGCTGCCGTAAGGTCTAATAAGAGTAGCAGCGCCAACCTGCCTTGATCCAGCTGTCTATGGAGATCGTCTGCTAAGGCAACCAAGACCGTTTCCGTCCTGTGGCCAGGGCAGAAGCTGGACTGGAATGGATCTAATGCTGATCATCCAGGAAACCGTGGAGCTGTTCAGCCACCACTTTCTCAGTCACCTTGCCCAGGAATGACAGGTTTGAAACCAGGCAGTAAATTGTAGGACCAGAGGGATCCTGGGTTGGTTTTTGCAGAAGCAGTTCAAGAGTCAGAAACACAGCTGTTACATGTGTGGTTTCAGGACCACGGACAGGTCTCAAGGGAGCTGTAGGTAGGTAAGGCCAAACTAGATGTTGCAATGAAGGCTTATGTAAAGCTTCCGGAAAGAAGGGCTTGTTTGTTTTAATGGAATAGGAGGCTGTCAGTCTAAGGCAAACCCCCCCCCCCCCTTTTTAACCTTTCCTGACCAGCATTTCCCCCCCCACTTCTTTCACCTGTAGGGGGAAATGTACGAGTCTACCTGTGTATTGAAATAGGTGGCAAGTTTGACTGTAAAGATGGCCAGTGGGGAAAAGGGTTAATTCATCCTTCCTCCTTTGTTGTGTGTGTTTATTGAGAGTCAGAGTGATATAGCAGTTGAAATGTTGGATTAGGATCTGGGAAACCCAGGTTCAAATCCCCACTCTGCCATGGAAGCCTGCTGGGTGACCTTGGGCCAATCACACACCCTCAGGATAAACTGGAGGAGAGGGTAAGGATGTAAGCCACTTTGAGTTCCCATTGGGGAGAAAGACGGGATATAAATAAATAATAAAAAAAATTAGATATTTAATATCCCACTTTGCTTCCCAAGGAAACCCAAAACTGGCCTACAACATATTATCCTCTCCTGCCTTTTAACCTCATAACAATAACCCTGTGAGGTAGGTTAGGCTGGGAATGAGAGAGACCAGCCCAAAGTCACTCAGCAAGCCTCACGGCACATCAGGGATTCGAACCTGGGTCTCCCAGATCCTAGTCCAACAGTTAAACTCATTTTCCACCCCTTTCGTTATATGTGACTGGCTTAATTGCTGTCACCATCATATTTAGGAAGAGCTTCAGGTGCTGCCCCAATACTTGTCAGGAGCTGCCTGGGCACAGAAACATAGGCCTCAAAGATCAGAGCATATTTAATTAATTTCTTTAGAAAATGTGGAATCTACTTGTAATGTTCAAAGGATGCTTGATGTGGAGAACAATGAGGCTATCACAAGGAAGCAATGGAAGTGCTGGGGCTTTGCAGGTCAAGAGGCAGAGATTGGTGGCTCCGGAGGCAGAGTCACCGGGAAGCCGTCTAATTTATTTATTTACTTCATTTACACCCTGCTCTTCTCCCCAATGGGGACCCAAAACAGCTTACATCATTCTCCTTGCCTCCATTTTATCCTCATAGCAACCCTGTGAGGTAGGTTAGACTGAGTGCCAGTGATTTGTCCAAGGCCATCCAGCAAGCTTCCAAGACAGAGTACAGATCTGAACTCGGATCCTACTCCAACGCTTACTGTCAGAAGATGGAGGTTCAGCTGCTAATATCTGCAGCCCTGACCTGGCTAGCTCAGGCTAGCCTGCTCTTCATCAGATCTCAGCCCTCATTAGCATTTGGGTAGGAGACCAGGGTCCCAATGTGGAGGGAGGCAATGGCAAATCACCTCTGAACATCTCTTACCTTGGAAACCCCACAAGGTCACCATAAGTCTACTGTGACTTGATGGCATGGTCTCCACCACTACCAACATCTGGAGATCAAGCTGCTGTTAAAGTCTCCATAGCAGGCATCAGAGAGAAAGTTGGCAGCCTTATAAATAACTCAGATACTTCCTGGGGAATCAAAACACATACTCCTAGAGAGTATTCTTCTGGCTTTTGGTTGTGTGCTCTCATGATTTGGATAAGATTTTTGGCATCATCTGTTGCTGCTATCAGTGGACATTGTGCCGTAGTGAAGATGGGAATCACTTCTGGAAATTTTGAATCCATCCTAAAAGCTCTTTCCCCCCGTTTTCTTTTTTTGTTGAAACATTTTTTGAGCGGCATTGCAGCTCTTCCAAAGCTCCAGGCCATTTACCAAACTCATAAAAGCAATATTAAAAAGACAGCTGGAGTTGAAAACATTGCAATGCAAAAACAACAAAAAACAAATAAACGCCAAGACCCTAGAGCAGCATGATTTTTAAAAATGTAAAAAAAGGACCTATTTCCCAAAAGCCAATCTAAAAGGACATAGGGAGCCCTAGGGAGATCATTGTTACCTGTGCTCAAGTCACGTATTCTTTTTTTTTCTTTTTTTTAAAGTTGGGTACATTTTGATGTGACCTAAGCAATCTTAAGTAAACAGTAAGAAAGTATCTGATATCTTAGTGATTTACTTTTCTGGTCTTGTTTCTAATATCTCTAGAATATCCTTAGGCATACAACTGTGAAAATCTGTGCTCCGCGTGTCCCCTTGCTATCTTTCAAGAAGGAGGCAATAAAATTCCATTAAACTTGCAAAGGGCAAAAGGTCCCAAGGGCTTCTTCAGTCCCTTAGGGTCCCTCGATACGTCCCAGCCATCGATATATTCTCCACACAAATTGTGGAACTTATCATGAGAGCTTTGAAAGTGCCAGGTTTGCCAGCAACTATGTATCAGAACCTGATAGACAGCTAGAATTGTAAAAAGAAAAATCTGATTTTTCTCACCTCAATTAAGGCCATATTTAGGTGGAATTGACATTGCCTACCAGACCTTGGTGTTCTGCTGTATGTGGCAGTTTACTAGTGATTCTTAACAGAAACCATACAGTAGCCCAGTCCACTATCATTCCATATCTCAAAGGGTTGACATGCTTCAGTAGTATTCCTGTATCTCTTGGAAGTTCTTTACCAACAAGAATTTTTTTCCCTTAACTTGCTTGATTTAGTAGTCTGCCTTTTTTGCTGAGACTCCCCAAAGTGGATTACAATTGCTTTAAAACAGTGCAGTAATACAGTTTCATAGGTACAAAACAATGTGTTAATTTGAATATAAAACTAGAAAAAGTGGGAAAATGACAGTAAACTAACTTTTAAAAAATGGAGTAGTTTAAAAAAGCGTAGGGTTTTTTTAAGAGGAATGTCTTAAAAATAGATTTCCCATTATCCATGCTGTCAACATTCATTTGTCCGTCAACAAGGAGAGCTTTCCTAGATAAGGTCAAAGCTTTTTATGTGTATGTAAAACTTCTGGCTGTTCTGAGAGGCAAAGATTGACTTAGTATGGCTAGAAGTTCTACACTATATGGAACAAACAATGTGAATTTGGAAGCTTAAATATTTGTTCTCTTTTACACAGTAAGACTTATTTTCACTAGGTTTTGTGTAACTTGATTTAATCTCCCTTTTTATTTACAGTTGTTTGATTTAATGTGACTGTGATAACTTTTTTTGTAATAAAAAGAGTAGTATCCCCCATAGTCCCAGAATGCAGATGATATATAGTACAACTTAATACATCCAAGGTAGACCATCCAAATATTTGGGAAGTGGTGGTGCTCTTTAAACAGAAATACTATATCATGACCTGGATAGCTCAGGCTAGCTTGATCTTGGGAGCTAAACAAGGCCAGCCCTGGTTAGTACTTGGACAGGAAACCACAAAGGAAGCCCAGGGTTACTCCACAGAGACAGGCAATGGCAAACCACCTCTGTTTGTCTCTTGCCTATGGAGTCACCATAGGTTGGCTGTGACTTGACAGTGACGTGAAGAATAGCTAGGTTGATGTGACAGTATAACAACATAATGCATCAAGGCAAGATCAGAGAGTTGAAAACCAACCAGAAAACAATAATTAAAGCCTTATTGAAATACCTTGCTCAACTGACTTGCTCTGATGAGCTGTTTTGCTCCTATTCACACCATTATTTTGATTTCCTAAGGAAAATGTGAATAAGTGTGAAAAGCCTATCTGGGCTGGATGGCTGAGCATGCAATGAGCACAGTTAACCTGTTTTTGTTTATGTGCTTTGTTGATCCCCCACTTTTCTCTAAATGACCCAAAGCCCCCATCATTCTGCCCTTCTCCATTACTGCTTAACTGAAAAGTCTGTAAATTGGAGTATTAGTTTCGGGCAATAGCCTTGGTTGTAATTATAGAGGTTGGCTGCTTATGGATAGTGCTGCTGAGAGCCACTACAGGCTCCCAGACAACAATACCCTGCAGGTCCCACCTCCACTCCCTAGACACAATCCAGACATTCTATGAAAAGAAATCATGTGACTTACCTGGCTCTGTAGGCCCCTGGAGTAGCCAGGATCCCCAAAATTTTGACCCCCTGGTTTCTGTCCATGGTACCACTTTCACCTTTGAATCGCACCAGCAATTGTAGACACATGCTCGGGGAACAGGATATTTGATTTCCAGGATGAGTAGCAGCTGTTCTTCCTGTGTATAAATTAAGTAGAGTTTGCAGTTTGTAAGAGAAGGTGGGGGAAGGCATACAGGTAATGCTGTCAATCTGCTTTTTGTGTTCAGTTTTTACAGGAGTATGAAAACTTAATTCTGTTTTGGCCTTCACTCCTGTGCCAGTTTTTCCTGCTCGCCCGATTTCTTCAAATCATTGTGAAATCATTCAAAATCTGTAGTGGGCAGGCTATTCTAAGCGTGAGTATTTTTAAAGAAATGGTGTATTTCCATTACTTTTTTCTTATTATTCTTCCTTGTTTTCTCGAGATTCCTTTCCTTAGGTCTTCATATTCTCTGCCTTTACTGTACATAGCAGGTGTTTTTTGTTTCAGAGATGGACCCCCAATGGATATGAAATCCGTGTGAACGAAGGTGATCCTCAAACAGACTGTTCCCCAAAAGGCAGTGAGGTAGTCTTAACAGTCCACTGAAATCAGTGGGCTTAGGGAGGGGTAACTGTGTTTAGGATTGAACTGTTAGTGTTCTAAGAAATAAGCTCAGTTCCATACCTGCTTCATTTTGATTCAGGTTAGCTACTCTAATGACAAAGTTATAGTATTCCAGATCTGGTGTAAAATAAATGGACAGTCTCTGCTCCTTCATCCACCACCATTCCACCTTTCAAAATGTCACATCAGTGCCTTTCCTCTTTCCCATCTTTTAAAGGTTTGCAGGTGTGGGAACTCTCTTGGCAGTCTGTGCTGTTCAACTGTAGTCCTTCATGTCTCTTACCAAATTGGTTCAGGTACCTGACAACTACACAGTTGCCTCAGCAGAATAAACCTGTCCAAAAAGTGGCTGTAATTGGATCCAAAGGCATTTATACCTCCTGAAATTCCCAGCAAAAATCCACATCCAGTGTTTATGCTTAGATATTTCTAGAACAGAGACCTGGAAACCTTGATTACTTTTGGCTCTGCCTTGGACTTTGATGTACTCCCCCCCCCACCAACTACACGAGGACCTGAAAGCCCTATGTAAAATATCCTTGTGCTTATAAAGAGCCCACACTTTCAAGGTATGACATCCCTGGCTGTTCCCTATTAAGTTCCCAGTTCCTTTTTTTGAGGGCACACCCCAACGATGGTTGCAATACCAGAGCCCACCCACGTCAAGGTGCAGATTGTCCCGGGTCTGTATTGTGCTCAAGGGGAGGGGACCAGCCAGACTCATAGTGGTTCATGGACCAACATGAGCTGTTAACACCTTCTGCATTTGTCCTGTGATGCACTCAGTTTCTGGTTTTTTTTTTTTTTAAGAGAAATAAAATAAATAAAAATGATGCCTCCGATTTCCTAAATGAGGGTGATGTAGGTGTGGCCATAGAGTCTTGCAAGGTGATATGTAATTCTGGAAACCGCTGTTCCTTCTATCCTCCCCACAGGAGGAGACCTCTTTCCTGGAGTGTCATCAAGTTCAGCATGTCCAACAACTGATGAAGAAGCCGCCACCACAGTGAGGGTCATTCTGTTCTTTGGAGCATTTTCCTTTACAGCTGGGGGTGGGTGGGGAGTGCGTTGCTGAATGTCTTCATAACAGATCCCCAACTGACCAAACTCTCTCTGGAGCAGGGAGGAGAGATCCGAGCCATTCAGTGTAGAGTGAAGAGAGTGGGCGAGGTTGTGATGGTTGCCAATGAATGATGGACGAGGGAGTTATCATTGCTGGTTAATGATGGGCCAGTCCCACATGCCTGAAGACTAAGTGCTGAAGCAGAGTGCTAAAGGGCAAAGGTATACTCAAGAGCCTAGGCAATTTAGCACACACGATACGTGAAGCTGCCTTATACTGAATCAGGCCCTTGGTCTGTGTACGGGAATTTTAGGGGTCCAGGCCTCTTCCAGGGATCCCCAACCCCATTAGGGTTTTTTCTGTGGGTGGGTGGAGTCTGGCTAGGGAGCTCAGGCCTCTAGAGGGAGAGAAACACAGCAAGAACAGTTGCCTTAAACTGAAAGTATTTATTAACTCTAAAAACCATACACAAAGCTCAATAGCATATATTCAATGTCAGTACCCAGTGGCATATAGAAAAATCCCAATACCTGATATAGTGTATGCTTCAGAAAGAACAAGGAATTCCTGGACTGTAGACCAAGACCTCACCCAAGCCTAGGTGGGGTTTTGGCCAAGCAGCCCTGAACAAAGCCCAAAGCATCCTTTTAAAACTTCTTTCAGCCAATAGGAATCAAAGGAGGAGTTAATTAAAATATACCAATACCAAAATATACCAAAGTATTTATTAACTCTAGAAACCATACACAAAACTCAATAGCATATATTCAACGTCAGTACCCAGTGGCATATAGAAAAATCCCAATACCTGATATAGTGTACACTTCAGAAAGAACAAGGAATTCCTGGACTGTAGACCAAGACCTCACCCAAGCCTAGGTGGGGTTTTGGCCAAGCAGCCCTGAACAAAGCCCAAAGCATCCTTTTAACACTTCTTTCAGCCAATAGGAATCAAAGGAAGAGTTAATTAAAATATACCAATTGTGAATTCAGGCAAAGGTACACCTACAGGGCAAGGCTTTAGTTTTTACGCCTAGGCTGCTAGCAAAAGAGCAAAGGCTTATGGGACTTCAGAACCAAGAAACCAAAGTCAGTTATAGCAAAACCTACATAGCATAGAAAAACAGAAAGGCCCAGGCTCATCGAGCCCCAAATTCTGCTACAGTCTATCAAAGTCAGTATTGTCTACTCTGATGAGCAGTGGCTCCGCAGGGTCTCAGGCAGAGGTCTTTCACATCACCTATAGCCCGGTCCTTTTATCCAGAGATGCCGGGGACTGAACCTGGGACCTTCTGCATGCCAAGCAGAAGCTCTACCACTGAGCCACAGCCCCTCCCCAAGAGGTGGATAGAGCCTCCTTTTATTGTTACCGAGCTCGTTGTTCAATATGTTTATCCCTACTCACAGGCCGCCTGAGAAATCCTGGATTCAGCGGAAGTTGTATGAATGGGATCCTTACTTTCGGTTCCCGAGCCGAATGATCAGCACATCAGTGGTTGTCCTCATCTGCCTTTACATGGTATGTGAAGGACCTGCATGGCACATTCACCCCCCAGCAGTTAGATGGCTGCTACTTCTCTTATAGGGACTGATGTTCTTGCTGCAGAATCCAGGGGATTCTCATTCATTGCAGCCTTGTTTGGTGTAGTGGTTAAGTGCGCGGACTCTAATCTGGGAGAACTGGGTTTGATTCCCCACTCCTCCACTTGCACCTGGCTGGATGACCTTGGGCAAGCCATAGCTCTGATAAGAAGCTGTTCTTGAAAAAGGGCAGTTTCTGTCAAGAGCTCTCTCAGCCCTACCCACCTCACAGGGTGTCTGTTGTGGGGAGGGGAAGGGAAAGGAGTTTGTAAGCCGCTCTGAGACACCTTTCGGTAGTGAAGGGCGGGGTATAAATCCAATCTCTTCTCTTCTCTTCTTCTTGTCTGGCCTGAGAACAGGACATCTGTTGGGCTCTGGCCTCGAAATCTTCTAGAGGCCAGTTTCAAGGTTTTGTATTTCACAGTGCGTGCATTGTTGTCATGTACCTATAGTAATACCATTTATAGACCGGCCAAAAGTGTTCAAAATGCTTCAGAAGTATCATCAGTAATCTTATGACGACGTTGTAACTAAGATAGATCATGTGAACATATAAAGATGCCTTATAACTGAGTCAGACCATAGGTCTATCAAGGTAGAGACTTCATTCTATCTTTAGCTTGTGAAGTCTTCATACCTACTGGTGGGCCACCTCAGAAAACCAAATGTGTGTCTTCAGTCACATTCTTTTATTTGAGATATTCAGACCCAACTTTGCTGTTCTTTTCCATTTGCCTTCCAGTTTATTATGTATGAGATCATTGCTTATAAGTATCTTTCAAGACTTACCGAACTCGTCCTGCTGGAGGGCTTAGCTGCCGCTTTCAACATCTCAGAAGACCCAAACTCATGGTTCAGTGAACTGCAAGAATTTGTAAAGGTTTCTCAAGGTACAGATATGACAGCATGCGTGTGATTCTGAATCTAACTTAATTTGCATGTGGGTTGTTGGTTGTTCCTCGGTGACAGGAATGGCATGGGCTTTCTGGGTTTATATGGTCATCAGAGGGTAGCTTCTGCCTCTAGTTAAAGATGCTTCTAATTAAGTCAGCCGGAGTTTGGAAAGGTGAGAAATGTTCAGCAGCAGTGTAGCCCCCAGGGAAAGATTTTGCATTGCCTGCCCATAGGCCGTGATATCCATATGACAGCAGTACTGGGGGAGGCCTGTGGATCTGAGGACAAACTGGTTTTGTGGAGATAGAGAACAAAATTCTGTGGAACTGAAGCATGTCTGAAGCAGGGGACAGTTCTTGATAATGTTGAGGTACGTGAGGTCTTGTTTGGGCCAGATTCTGACCTCCATTGACGAAGGCCATAAGAGACAGTTTATTGCTTATTTTTTTGGTTTGCCTAATTTTTATGTTCCTTTGGCAGTGGCTGTGAGTGCCTAGTGGAGAGAAAAGTCAGAGGGAAATACTTAAATAAATAGTTTTATCCACTCACACAAGAGCTCACATTCACCCTCCTCTTTCACACAGACAAGAGGACAAGTTCTGGTCTCTGGTACATATGGCCCCTTTATGTTTCCTTGGCCAATGGGCTCAAAGGAAGAAGTGGCTACTGGGAGGGAACTGGAAGAAGAGGAGGAGCGCTCCATTTTCCCCACATGTTGCCTTTCTGTGGAGGAAGGCCCTGCTTCCAAGCCTGACTGGAGGGGGCAAGACCAATGTGGTTGTGTGGCCAAAGTCTGTGGTGTACATATTGCAAAACCATAGTGGCTGGGGCCAGATGGAAGCAGTTATGTGAGCATGAGGTGTCTCACACGTGTTCTAGGTGAACATTCAAGCCTTCAGAGTTGGGAGCCAGTCCCACTCACTGCTGTTTTCAGAGGAGGCTTCATTGGAAGCAAAGCAAGATCAGCCACAGTCAGTACTTGGATGGGAGACCCCCAAGGAGGATGGGGGTTTCTACATGGATGGGGCTGCCATGAATCAGTTGCAACTCATTGACACACTCTCCTCTTCATTTTCAACATGCCAAGGTTCTTTCTGTTGCCACCTTAGGGGGTACAGAACATGACCATGGCTGTAGTCAGGGCTATTTTTGGGTAGGAACGCACAGGAACGGAGTTCCGGCTGGCTCCCGAATTGGCCACGCCCAACAGGAACTAATTAGCATAATAGGCCACACCCAACAGCAGAAACTCATTAGGATTGGCTACATTAGGGGTGTGTGGCCTAACATGCAAAGGAGTTCCTGCTACAAAAAAAGCTCTGGGTTTTGACAATAAACAAAGTAAACAGAATAAGAAGCAAAAGGTGGGTGTGGCTGGATGAGCACACTTCTGGTAACATGGGGGTGTGGCCTAATATGCGAATGAGCTGTGCTGTCATGGTGTGGTTTAATATGCTAATGAGTTTCTGCTGTTGGGTGTGGCCTATTATGCTAATGAGTTCCTGTTGGGCTTTTTCTACAAAAAAAGCCCTGGCTGTGGTCACACTAAATAATCCACTCTTAAGGCACTTTCCAACTGGGAAAGTAGCTCTGGTGAGTCCCCAGGAACTTTAATCAAACTTCTGTATTTTTAGCCTTGCGGATGCTCATTCCCAGCCCTTTGGGGAGCCATGAGAGCCACTGGTGCTGGCTGCCGCTGGGGACTGGCTGGAAACAGCCTCCTCCTTGTGGCCCCTCAGGAGAACATGAGCAGCCGCAGCCATGCCAGACCATTCAACTTGCCAGTTGGTGGGGAGGGGAAGCGAGTGAGCTGCTGGAGGAACAGCATTGTTGCAAGCCGGAGGTGGAGGCTCGGCTGTGCCGGTCAAGGCGGGCTTGAGCCCCCGGCTGTGCTGCTGGGCGTAAAACTGTGAGGAGAGGCATCGGAGGGCGAGGTGAGTGGAGGGGTGCTGTGCGAGGCACGAGCTGTTGGGGTACCGCAGCCCTCCTTACATCCTTCCCCGCCCAGCAGCCCAAGCCCCCTTAACATTTTTAAAGCTACCCAGAAAAAAAATCCTAGTTATGGGCCTATGCCAAAACAGGTTGCTTACCTGTAACTGATGATCTTCGAGTGGTAATCTGTGCATTCACACCTCTGGGATATAGTGCTCCTCCGTCGACCTCGATCGGTTCCTCTTGAAAGCGAAAGGGATTTTCGTGCCCGCTCCCCAGTCAATGTCTTTATACTTTTGTCTAGGTCTTGCAGGACCGTATCAGTTGTGGCACTGAAAAGGCCCTCACCTTCGAATGGAAGGTTGTCAATGAGAGTCCTGGTGTCCTGCGGTAGAGAATGCAACCAGGCGTGACGTCGGAGGGTAACTGCTGAAGTCAGCATTTTGGCGGCCACATCCAATGTATGCTTAGCTGCATTGAGCTGATGCTTAGCCAAAAGCATTCCCTCCTGAATCCTGCAAGCCTGACAGTTAGCGTCCGCATCTTGATGCCAAGTGCTCCCACAGAATAAAATTTTCTTCCAAACGAATCAAGCTTCCTTCCTTCTTTCTCAGAGGGGGTGGAATGACTGTGTCTGCCCTTGGAGGAAGACGTGACTATGACAGAGTTAAGTTTAGGGTGGGTAAACAGAAATTCAGCACCCTGCTCCTGCACTTTATACATATGATCTACCCTCCGGCTCGAGACGGGGGTAGATGCCGGGTGAGACCATGGGACTTTAGCCGCCTGAAGGAGGACTGAAGTCATCGGTAAGGCAATTGGGGTAGAGGTGTCCATCTGGATGATATCGAACACGGAGTCTGTCACAGTAGGTGGGGGCTGTACCGTAGACAGAGTGAGTGTGTTAGCCATCCGCTTGATGTAATCTCCATAGGATTTCAAGTCTTCCAAAGGGGAGATTGGAAGATTATCGCCCACTTGCTGAGGCGGTGAGGGTTCCACCAGAGGATTTGGGTTTTCGTCGCCGATTGGGAGGAAACGTCTGAAGAGGTGGAGTGCTCAGATGGCTTGGAAAAAGACATAGGTAACATCGGTATCGCTGGAATCGGATTCGATGGTTCTTTAAACGTTGGATCTGTCGGGTGCGACGGCTTGGAAGGTTTGCCTGTCGGCCTCGACAGTTGGGGCCTCACGAACTCCGGCGTCGATGGAGGATCTCAATACCAGGAGAGACGTGAAGACGTGGACTGACGGTCCCACTCCATTGGTTGGGGTGGGAACCACGGCATTGGATAGGTCCCATACATGTATTGCCACTGCCATTGGTCCCAGGAGGGTGGATTGGTGCTGATGGTCGTTCTTCATCATCAGGTCAGAACTGTGAAGGACGAATGGCTCCGCGGTCTGCGTGCAGACTTTTGACAGTGGAAGACCGGGAGATCTGTGTCAAGTCCATATCGTGCTCAGAGTCAGTGAACTGGCTAGGATGCAGCAAAGGCAACTGAGGTACACCTTGTGGGTGCTCTCAGCTCGAAAAGTCAAGGGAAGCAGCCCCCATAGGATTTGGTTCTGAGACCCTCTGAGGGGTCAGCAGAGATTGTGTAGGGGGAGTTTTCTCATGCTTTTTATGTTTGACTGGCCAATCGTCCTTGCCTTCCCTGCATTTTTTGGAGGGAGTATGGGCTAAGGACTGAGATGTCTGGGCCGAGCGTTTCAGCATTGGGTGGTCAACATCTACATGAATCGGTATCAGGGATACCACAGCCGTCGATGCCGAGGCAGCAGTCAACATGGATGCATGCCCTGAAGTGTCCTGTGACGACATTGGTGAAAGCACTAACTCCAAAAGTGCAACGCAAAGTCTAACAACTCTGTTCTTCCTTGTCTCCTTCAAAAACTTCGTGCAATGAGCACAAGCGTTCACTTGGTGCGATTCCCCGAGGCACAAAAGACAAAGCAAGTGTCTGTCTGGGGGGGCGATCTTGCTTCCGCACTTAAGGCACCATTTAAAGAAACCCCACCTCTTGGCCATAGGCCGGGAGAGGGGGGGGAACGCATGACAGAGTCCAAAAGGAAATAAATCCATAGAAACAAAGTCCTTTCACTTAACAAAAATAAACAAGAAGAAAACGAAGAAACTTTGAAGAAAACGAGGAATAGGCCTAAAAGCCTAATTTTTTTAACCGACCGAAGCGGAGAAGATTCTACCAGCGCGGCGGTCAGAAGAGAACTGGTGGGATTGTCATGCCCCTCCCTTGGTCATGTGCATTGGGGCTGGCGCGTGAATGGGGAGTGGGCACGAAAATCCCTTTCGCTTTCAAGAGGAACCAATCGAGGTCGGCGCAGACGCACTATATCCCAGAGGTGTGATGCACAGAGACCACAAAGAAGAGCCTTCGTTTTGGTGACCTGAATTTACCCTGAAGAGTCACCATTGGCAAATCAAGCCTAGGTTTGCTGTTTGGGTCCACCTATATGACTAAACTCAGTTTATTATATTTTTACTCTGTGTTTCGTCCAAGGAGATCAGGGAAGCCTAAGTGGTTTTCCTTCTCCCTGCCCCCTCCATCTTCACAACAACCCCATGAGAAAAGGTTAGGCTGAGGAAGAATGACTGATCCAAGTTCAGCCAGCAAGCTCCTTAACGGCTGAGAATTTTAACCTGAGTTTCCGTGGTCCCAGCCCAACACTAACCACTGCATCACACTGTCTGTCAATGCCCAAACACAGAAGTGGCAGAACAGTGCAAACACAGAGCCAACCTACATCTTCCAGCTGGGCATGGGACAACCTATGATTGCCGACACCATTTTATATGAGAATTTCGCCATTTAAAAATCTCCATGAGGGCCTGATCATGTGGCTGCACCATGCAATTGTGTCTTTTCAACTATCAAAATAGTTTTTTGGGGGGTTGTTTAAGCACTTAAGAAGGATTGTGAGGAGCAAGAATGCATGTTGCTGCCATGCTGCTGGGCCTCGCAGAAATTAACAATTGCTAAATTTCCGTTTGAAATGGCATTGGTGGCCACAAGTTCTCCCATACCTGCCCGTAACATGTAGTTTGGCTCTTCGAGGCTCCGTGAATGATCTTTGCTATGCTTATATTTCAGAGTGAAACACTGAATGCTGATTCTGGAGCTCTGGGGTGTCTAGTTTCTCTCTAATGTCTGTGAAGTTAAAATATTGTCAGAATGGTGGTGTGTGGGGCTACAGGGGAATGTCTTAAATAAAGATGATGGTTGCTTGTTTCACAGGTGCCTGGATAGCCACCACCGTTACTTCCACTCTGACATGTATCACTTACGTGTTCCATATCTTGGCCTGCTACAGGTATGGATATCTTTTGGGCTACAGGGGCCTGGTCAGAGGCAATGCTGCCCAACTGCGTTATCTTAATTAGGCCATTAATAATGCAGTCTGTGCAGAGTTACTCCAGTTGGCTTAGATTGGAGTAACTCTGCATAGGACTGCACTGTGGGAATGCTGCTTGGGATCCCACACCGCTTGCTTTTCCCTCTGCCTGATGTGAGCATTCCCCTTTCCCATTCATTTTCAGAGCTATCTCCGGTTAGTAGTATGCCTGCATGGACATTTTCTCTAACCAGGGCTTGTGCCAAACCATAGTTTGCTGCCATAGTTATAAACAGATTTGCAAACTGAAGCTTGAGCCTCAGTGCTTAGCAAAAAGGGCCCATGCAGACATAATGCTAAATGTAGTTATCTATGGCACCTACCTTTGCAAGATGGGGTGGGGGTGGGTTAGTGCCTGAGCCTACAGGATTTCCCGAAGTTTAGCTATGAGCAATATTATGTATCTGATTGTTTTCAGGGTGCGTGACAATTCATTCTGCCTGGCTAAAACTGTGGTTTTGGCACACGGTACCCTTGTTGTGGGGGCAGCCGCTCTGCTAGATCTGTCTCCATGCCCTTCCGGCTAACAGTGAAGTTGATATAATATGTGACAACTGAAAACATTTCTGGTTATTCCTAGTCATGGTTCCTAGCTGATCCTTCATTCTCTTCGATTTACCCACAGCTTATCACTTGGTTTCTTTGGTTTGATTCTGACTCCCATTTTTCTGATTGTAAGATGTTTTGGTTTGATTGGTTTGATTCTGACCTCCAGTTTTCTGATTCTCCTCTTAGTCCACTGACTCTTCCAAACTCCTCCTGAATGAAGGGCTTCTAATCAATGTGCCCTAATAACCCAGCCCAGTACCATACAGTTGTTTCTACAGTTTATTGCCCTCCTTTTTGTAATACAGCTGCACTACTGATCCAAGGACTACTGATTTCTTGCTCAAAAGCACTCAGCTGAACAGTGTACGATAGCTGGTCAAAAGGCTGTGATGAGTTTTGATGTGCACCAATTTTTTTTTGAGGGGGGAGGAAGTATCCATGCTTTTTCTCAACATTTTTTTTTTTAAAGGACACAGTTCAAGGAAGCAGATAAGGAGTTCTTTCTGTCAGACTCTGGTAAAAATCCAGTGTACTGTATTGCTGATACTGTTAGTCAGTTGAGAGTTGGACTTCAAGTGGTTAAGTTTCTGGGCCCAGAGGGTGCGGGCTGTCAATCTGATGGGGATCCAGCACTAAAAAGCACAGTCCAGGTAAGCGAGAGTCAAGTTCCAAAAGCATCAGCTGAAGATCAGAAGGGTGCGAAGCAGGAGGCGTCATCCACAGAGGGCAGAAGACTTGAGTTGTGAAGGAGCCAGTGTTGAGGCAGGGAAGCAGGTATTTGGTCAGGCAAGGTCCTCTCCAGGGAGAGACACTGCTCAGACTGGTACAGCAAGCTCTGATGCTGGGATTTTATAAGGACTGTTGGATCCTGATTGGTCCTTGGAGTTGGCTGACTGTGAGCCCTAACCACGTGTTGCATTTTCCCCAGAGATGTCCCCAGGTTGATCCAAGAGACGTATCCTGGAGTTGTGCACTTCCCGAGAGTATGTGGGCCTTATTGGATCTGGAGCATGCTTTGTGGGGAGAAGTGGCGTTGATCTTCTTTAAGCCCCATTGTGCCGACCTAAAACTGCTGTTGTTTGCCCCATTGGGGGCTCCATGTGTATCGATGGATATATATTACATTCCTCCAACAGGGCAAATATCGGGTCCCCAGAGCCATTCCAGGTTAGAAAAACTGTGCTGGCAGCAGGGGTCATTTCGTAGAAAAAGAGCTAGGGAAACTCATTAGCATATGCCACACCCCCTGACATCACCAGAAGTGTGTCATAAGGCCACACACCCCGCCTCCAACGGTCCTGGCTGCCACCGCCGGCCTTGCAGCTCCACTGCCGAGCCCATGAGGGGCCCGGCGGTGGACCTGCAAGGCCAGCAGAAGTGCAAGGAAGCCCCACGAAGGCCCTCCCTGGCCCCAGGCAGGCAGGGTTGGGGAGAGGAAGGGAGGAAGCAACTTACCCTCCCTCTTCTCCTGCCTCCTCCTGGCTGAATGAGGGCCGGAAGCGGGGCGGCCGGAAGCAGGGGGCGGGGCTTCGTCATGTGCCCCGCCCCCCATGCCTCACCCGGGGGAACTGCGATCCCCCGCGATTCCCCCCGAAATGACCTCTGGCTGGCAGGGAGAATGTGCTGCAGTTCCAATCTGAGTTGGGAGTGCATGCATGTGAGAAGTGCACAACTCTGGACTGGCTCTTCAGCCGGCCTGAGGATGTCCTTGGGGGAAATGTGGCATTATAGGCCGCACAGTCCAAGAGTGCTGTCAGGACACCAGGCTTGCATTGCAGCGTAGGTGAGGAACACAGCCCTGAATGCAGTCCTTGAGGAACACAGTTCATCCTTCAGATTTCAAGGAAGAAACAGAACTCCAGCGCTGCAGGATCTAAGGTGCCAGAATGACCTCATTGGGAACCCTGACTCTGGACACACACCGAGTGCTTTACAGATAAATAGGAAGCGTGGAGGACTGTTCGGCTGAACAGCCATATTTTTCTGTAACCCTGTGGTCGGAGACTGTTATTATACAGATAAAGAGATGGTGTTCATTCAGCCACACAATACGGTTGCTATTCCCCCCCCCCAACTGTTGCTCCAAAGCAGATAAAAAAGTAAAGGTAAAGGTCCCCTTGCTCGAAAGCCAGTTGAGTCCGACTCTAGGGTTGCGGTGCTCATCTCCATTTCAAAGCCAAAGAGCCAGCACTGTCCGAAGACGTTTCCGTGGTCATGTGGCTGGCATGACTAAACACCAAGGCGCAGTGGTACCTATTTATCTACTTGCAATTTCTTGCTTTCGAACTGCTAGGTTGGCAGGAGCTGGAACTAGAGACGGGAGCTCACTCCGTCATGTGGCACCCCTGGGTCTCGAACTGGGAACTGACCTTCCACAGCCTGCAGTTCAGCGTCTTAACCACTTGAGCCACTGCAGCTCCTCCAAAGCAGATACCAAACTACTATAATAAGAGTGGCCTGAGGCCATTGAGTCCTGATGTGTACCAGTGCAGCAAATACATTTATATGATTTTTGTTAAAAATGGAAGTTGTTCCAGGTGGCACAGTACCCAGTGGGACATAGACAGGAAGTGTGAAGGTAGCCTTGAGGGCAGGTGAGACATTTGATGTGCACCAGTCTCTTAACAACCTGACTTTTTTCTAGGAAACACATAAAGCGGTTGCGGGTTGGCAAGAAGCAGTTCCTTATGTCAGACATTACAAGAGTTTCACATTCTCTAAGCGTGGTGAGTTTCCACTGTTTACCCTTGGAAGATTTCCCACCACCGGCTTTGCAAACTTTGATTCTGTTTGAGTTGACTCCCAGTCACTTCAAGAGTCTCAGGATCTGGTCTGTGGGGTACTCTTCCAGCTTAATCAAGTTACTTATGCATGCTGGGAATTTGCAAGCCTAGCTCTGCAGGCAGTGTTAAAAAGTAGGGGGTGTGACAGGCAGATAGTTTATGTGGAATTTGTTGTGGAGAGCCTTTGTAGGATACATGTTATGGTTCCCAGAAAGCTCATCAGATAATCTGCAGTGTGGATGTGGGAGGTATCCTAAAATGCAAATCAGAAGCTATAGTTCAGAGAGGGCTTGGCAGATATTACTTTTAGGCTAACACCCGAGCCCTTCCAATATTTTCCGCAACCAAGAAGAAGATGCACATGGTGTATTTATGTGCCTCATTTAGACCACCTGCATTTATTCCACACATACCACTTGTTCTTACGTGTTATATGAAAAAATCCGTAACACATGTTATTAACATGCACCTTTTTAATGCAGTCTACTTTTGTTTGTTTAAGAGGTCTCTTGTGTCTTGCTGTGAATCCTGTCCTCCTGAAATCTCCCCCACCCTCACACCAAAACCTGACACGGAGACTTGCTCATACTATAACTAGTTTGCTCTTTGGAAGTGATATGAATTTGTTTTGTTTCTGTATTATGGCTTTCAGATTTCTGCATATATGAACTGTTCTTTTTTAATACCAACAGGTAGCACTGGCAAGATACTCTTCTTGGCAAATTGCATACACAGTATGGGGTATGTGAACATCTACGTTGCAGACGTTTGGCCTAAATTATTGGGTGTTCCTGCTTTTGCTGACAACTTGACTCTTTTTTTTTTTTTAGGGTATTTCCTCATGCATTTGGTACAGTGGGTGGCTGTCATGATATTAATGTATGTTGTGGTTCTACCCATGATCCATGGTCAGTGGGCGGAACTGATTGCGGAGTGGGGAACGGTGATGTAAGTATGCTTGCTGTGGTAAAAAGTATTACAAATAATTATACAGTTATTAAAGAGTTAACGTTTGAAGGAGAGGCCAGGTTCTTCTTCCTAGGGGAATCCAGGAAGAAGAACCAGGAAAAGATGTTGTAAGATAGCTACTGGAGTACTTCCAGTGAGAGTCTGCAGGCCCCAGTTGTATAATATGTAAATAAATGTTGAGATCCATAATAAGAGGCTGGGGAAGGCCCTGGAAGATCTAAATTCCCATTAGTATGCTGGCCTACCACTATAGCAGTTTTTCTCTCCACATCCTTAAAAACCTACCAAAGTGATAATCAGGTCTGTCCACGTTGCAGGTCCATGTGAATCACATAACTGCCATCGTCTTCAAAACAGACCGGTTACAGGGGACTGTTTCTAGTAAATAGACGGGAACAAGTGTAGGCCCATGATACTCATGGGGGAATTCCCTCCCCCTTTTTTGCTGGGCCCACCCCAGCGTGACTCCTGGGCTTTCATTTTTGCCACTGGCAGGCCAGGCGTGGCTCTTGGGCTGCACAGCCGCTGCCAGGCCCGGCACAACTTGTGGGCTGCATGGCTGCCGCCACCAGACCCAAAGAAGCTCCCATGCTATGCAGCTACCGCTACCAGGCCCAGCCTCTGCCACTGCTGACCCAAGTGTGGCTCCCTGGCGCCACTGCGACCAACATTCTGACCTAAGTGCATTCTCTTTGCTTGCACAGAGCAGCCTACCTTACTCTCGGGGTCATTTAAACTCGTGCACTTTTTTAAAAAAAATTCAGATTTTTCTGCAAACCGTCCCCCAAGTTTGCTAAAAAGACTGTCTAGCTTCCTTGTGGCCTCAATTCGCGGATTTAAATGTCTGCAGATGGCGGCCACATGTGGCTTATAGTATATAGATAAGTGGGGACCTGTAAGAAACTTGCAGAGAGAAAGCATCCCATTCTCCAGTCTTGACTTCATCTCACCCACACCTTTTCTGACACTCATCTTCTGCCGTTTCCTTTAACCCCCACCACTTCAGTCACTCCCCCCCCCAACCCCAGTCTCTCAACCCCTCCTCTGTAGCTAGCTTGGCAGGAAGGTCAGCAATAACTCTCCTCCCATCTCCAGCTTTCCCTGGTTGGTGTAGGGGGAGCTACTGCTCCTGTGCTCCCCCCCCCATCCCAGCACCTAGCTTTGCCAGGTCGGAGGGGTGGCAGCAACAACTCCTGCCCCCCTCGCCGGCTTGGTGGGAAAGGGGAGTGGTGACTCCTGCACCTCCCTCCAGTGTTGTGGGCTCAGGGGGCAGCGACGACTCTTCCCTGCTACCTGCATTTTTGCTAGCTGGGCGTAGTGACAACTCCGTTCTCCTGCCGTCCTTCTCATGCTGTGACAGGTGCAGGAACAGCAACCCGGGGCTCGGTGCTGCACCAAGAATCCACTGCCAGCACGGCCAGGCCCAGCGCAGTTCCCAAGCACTGTTGCCAATGTGGCTGAGCCCAGGGTAGTTCCCAAACACCACTGCTGGCGCTGCAGGGTCTGGTGTGTTCCCCAAGCTCTGCCACTGGCATAAACAGGCCCAGCGTGCTTCCCGATCTCCACAGCTTGCGTGCCCGAGTCCGCGCAGCCTGCGAACTCCCAGGTTCTGCCAACGCACCTGGGCCCAGTGCAGGTCTTGCAAGTTGCTATTGCTGCTGAGGCTACCCAGCCCAGCTCTGAAATGTTGCTGTAGCTGCTGAGGGTGGGCCTGGAGCAGTTCTTGGAGACCACCACCTCCATGAACAGAGGTAAAGTCCCTTGTCTGCACAAGCACAGAGCAACAGTATTGTTTTTGGGGGTATTTAACTCCCCCCCCCCCGTGTAATTTTTTAGAAGTATCAGATTTTTCTGCACACCTGGGGGGGTGCTCCAAGTTTGGAGAAAAATCTCCTTTCTCTCAATGTAGGTCCAGTCTGCGGATTTAGATATCCACAAATCTGCCCCTGGTTGAGACATAGATATATAGATGTACAAGTTTCCACCAAGAGACTTTCTTGCTGTTATTACTACAGCAATCCCTTCTACCAGTGAGACAATCTGCTCTCTTTAGCTCTGGGAACTCCCACAGTGAGATTAACAAAGAAGACCTAGTTATGTTATGAGAACAATACAACAATTCAACAATACAAACAAACACATCATGCCTACACAATTTTCTGCTGGATCCTATGTAGGATCCTGGTCTACAAGCTTATCTTGGAAACACTTTTCTAGCTTCCGTAGCCTATGAAGGGCTTGCAACCGCATTTCATGCATTGCATTGCCAATGAAAATTTTAAAGGGGAGTGAGATGTGGAGTACAATTGCCTTCCACTGATGTCCCCAGTCCACAGAGATTAGCAACTTCCTTTTGTTCTCTGTTACCTGTCTGCAGTACATTACTGTCCTTACTTTGGTGCTTTGGGGATGGCTTCTTAAAATTTTCTTGTTGCGAGTAACAAGAGCTGACATTGCAATTTTAATGGGACTTATGAGTAAACATGCATAGGATTGCTGCTTGAATGGGTAATGGGTGTATATCTTGCTTCTAGTGCACATGCAGGGAAATTACATCTGCATGAACACTAAGATGCCATGCAGTGCACAGTGTGCAAGTTCAAATTCTGCAGCTTATGAAGAATATTTTGAACCAAGTGTAGGGGAAGTGACCCTTAACCAAAAGATCAAATGTCCCACCCAGCCTTTGGATCTGTCAAAGACAATTTCAGGGTAAACAAATGCAGCATACAGAAGGCACAACGGAGCCTTCTGTACTGGGGGTGGGGTTCAGGCAGTCATCCTTGGCATGTGGAATGGAAGAGCTGAAGTACATTGGAAGGCTACGTGCTCAGTTCTCTCCTTGGTGCATATATGTCCCTTTCTGATCCTGACTGTAATTTTAACCAGTGAACACATGTAGCTGCCTTATACTGACTCACACCCTTGGTCCATCAAAGTCAGTTTTGTCTACTCAGACTGGCAGCGGCTCTCCAGGGCCTCAGCAAGAGGTCTTTCATGCCACCTCCTGCCAGATCTTTTAACTGAAGATGCCGGGGATTGAACCCAGAACCTTCTGCATTTATTTATTATCAAATTTATAACCCGCCCTCCCTGCAAGGTAGGCTCAGGGCGGCTTCCAAATGCCATAAATACAGACTAAAAGCATACAATAATTAAAACACAACAGTTAAAAACAGTACAAAGCAAAGTGCTGGCAGCAATTAAAGATTCTGCATGCCAAGCAGATGCTCTACCACTGAGCTACAACCCCTCCCTTTATTAGTTGATAGAAGCTACACAAAGATCAGGACTTTGAGGGCCAGGGACAAGAAGCAGGCACTCTCAGTTCTCCCTACAGAGGCTCCGATAGCCTCCACTTCCATGTACCAAGAACAGTCTCTTCTTTTTTGTCTTCTGTGCTTCAGCCTCACTTTTGTCCTCGTCATGCTGATCAAGCGGCTTCAGCTTCTGATGGCAGCCAGGTTCTTTCTTCAGCCCAGGATTTCACCAGGAGACCAGCAAAAGCCACTGGCGCTTGATAACAGGTCTGTACCTGCCAGAAGAGTCTCTTTCCCCTCCCTTCCATTCCCTGGATTTATTCCGCTCCATGGAGCTCATAGATGCAGGGTACCTGGGGAAAGCTGTGCCTTTTGAGGAAGATTTGCCACCCTATGGCTGCGGTCACACGGAACGTTAGCCACGCTAGAGAGACGGAAGATAGGCGGATTTTCCTGGCGCGATCTCACCGCCACATCTGGGAAGCATAGAGCTCCCGTGGCTCACCCGAGGCTTCCCGCTGAAGATGCAGGGTAAAAACTAGTACCTCCGAGGTACTAGTTTCCGGTAACTGCGGGGCAAGGGCAGGCGTCTGATCGCGTTTCTGGTGGCATCCGGCGCCCGCCCATGTCCCCTTGCAAAAAGGTTCCCCCCCCCAAGTCTCCATGGATGCGCACAAGCACCCAACGGAGCATGCACATACTTTGGGGTACAGAAAAAAACAAACCAGTTTGCCACACTGCGCCGCTTCTTTGCCGTGCCGCAGGATTGTCCTGTGATCGGCACCTTCCCCCTACCCACGGGACCTCCACGGAACCTCTACGGGAGGTCTGATTGCGCAACCGCACGTTATTTTGCCCCGGGGCAAACAGCCATGCCTCCCCCCCGCGATATCTGGCCCGTGTGACCGGGGCCTAAGAAGAGCAGGTGAGAAAAGCCATTCTTGCTTGTTTGCATGTTTATTTCGGCACGTTCATTCTCACCTCGAAAGCTTGAAATGGGCTTGGCTCTGGTTGTGTGGAGGATTGCCTCCTTCAGTTCGTTTCTCTGCCCTCTGTCCAGGTACCTTAAGATATTCTGAGGAAGACCCCCATGGAGATAAATCAAGATGGGTAGCCATTTTCATCTGTCTGTAGCAGTAGAAAAGAGCAAGAATCCAGGAGCACCTTAAAGACTAATAGAATTTGTGGCAGGGTAGGAGCTTTTGTGAGTCACTGAAGAAATGAGCCGTGACTCACAAAAGCTCATATCCTGCCACATTTTATTTTAGTCTTTAAGATGTTACTGGACTCTTGCTCTTTTCTACTGAGGGAACCTTATAGCCCTGTGAGGTTAGTCACCAAGAGATGTAGAGGTTTCTTAGGGGTGGTGTTGTAGTTCTGTAATTCCTTGCCCAGAGAAACTCACTTTTTTGAATTTATGATTTTTATTAATTTTAACCATTTCAATACAATACAGTAGCATTGACATCTGATAAACATTAATAAAAATAACCGACTGTAACCATAACACACCTAAGCATACAAGCAAACAATCAAGTTTTATGTTAGGAGAAGATGAAAGCAACTTACTGTTCTACACACATTCAGTAGGTAAAAAATAAGAGCACTAAAACCTAGTATAGGGTATCACACATAAGGTATGGGTTGTAAATCAGAAGACCCGTTCATGCCATATAATCTAAGAACGGGGACCACTGTTCCCCAAATGTAAGAAACTCACTTGACCAATTCTTTGCCTAGTAAGTAACTTTTTTCCCACCATAGAGAACAATGGAGGGGATGGGGGAACCTGTTTGGGGGCCCATAGAATTGGACCCCCTGGTCCAATGTTCTTGAAACTTGGTGGGCATCTTGGGAAGCGGCTGCAGCAGCTACCATGCAAGTTTGGAGCCTCTCCCTCAAACCCTCTCCCCTCCAGCCCCCAGAATATACCCTATGTTTTCACCATTGACTTCAATGGCCCATAGGATATAATGGGGCTGAAATTAACATTCTGCTGGCGGAAAGACTCTGGAATGGCTGGTACTGCCGAAATTGACATGCGGGAGTCTTTCTGCCGGCTGAAATTGATTCTACCCGATTCGGCCGAATCCAAATCAGGCCGAATTTTTTTTTGCACACCTCTAGTTATGATGCTTTATTTTTTTATTTTGTATGTTTTTATGTTTATTTTTATTGGATTTTGTTGCTAATTGCCTCTGTATGGACAGTTTACAAAACTAAAAAATAAACTGTGTATATATAGGGTTGTAGATCCAGAGAAGTTAGCCATGTTAGTCTGTTGCTGCAAAACAGTTAAAAGCCCTGTAGCACCTTTAAGACTAACAAACTTTATTGTAGCATAAGCTTTCGAGAAACACAGCTCTCTTTGTGTTTCTTGAAAGCTTATGTTACAATAAAGTTTTGTTAGTCTTAAAGGTGCTACTGGGCTTTTTACTATTATACAGGACTGGGTATTGGACCTATTTGGTGAACTGTTTTTAAGGCAGTGACTTTATTAGAATAACCAGCAAGGTACAGTGCAGTAATCATGTTTGGTTTACTCTGAAAGCATATTCACTTGGTCCTGCCTCCGAACGTTTATGGGACTTGCAGTGTAATCCTGCACAGAACTACCCCAAGTCAAAACCCATTCTAATCAAGGGTGTAGGCTGAACTAACTCTGCATAAGATTACACTGGTAGAGACACTTCAGATGTGTCCTCTGTTCCTTTGCAGAAAGACATTCCAGAACTTCACCTACTTCTTGTTCTTTTACACTGTGGTGGTGGGCCTGGTTTCCTGTCTGATGAGGCTGTTGCGCAGCGTTGCTTTGGGAGTCTGGCTAATTGGGCGCATAGACAGGCCGGTCATGCCCAAAGGTTATGAAGCCTGTGATATGGGTAAGTGATGGGGGGAAACCTGGAGGATCTCCAGAGCTGCCATAATGTGCCTATGTCTATATGGGGCAGCGGCTTTGGTATATTCCATTTGTGATTGCTTGCCCTTTCTACTTAGTGGTCACAAACAATACTTTTTTGACCCCAAGGAACAGAAAAAGTGCGCCTGATATGCATCGGGGAATAATGATGATCTCCCTGCAGGGTTCAAGACGTGGGTTGGTATGCTGCTCATGGATCACTACCACACAAATCCCAGCCTCCTGTACTTCTGCCACATCCTCATTATGAAAAAAAGAGCAAAAGAGCTACAGAGAGCTACATACGTTCCCGGGAATGAGCTGAGGGGAACAGGTAAAGAGTGTCACAGGGTGTCAGCAGTCAAGTTATCATCTATTTGTGACCTTGGTGTGTGTGTGTGTGTGTGTGCTTCAGGAAGGTTAGGAGAGGGACTCTGTTGCCAGAAAAGACACTAACACACTGTAAATCTTCTCTCACCCTAACCCTGACTCAAGGAGGTGAAGAGATAATGGAGCTCCCTCAGCTGAACATTCTGTGGACTTGTGTAGTTTGGCTTATTCACATGGGAGGCAGTGGCCTCCATTATGAACTATAAATGTTCATAATGACAGCCCACCTTTTAGAGGTTATGGTACAGTTTCAGGCCACTAATCATCAACAAAGGGCCACATTAATACTATGTGTATGTCAAATTTCAGAATTCAGTGTGGCGTGAAGTGTTTTCTGGTGTGCTTCATGCCCCCATCTTGACCTGTAAATCCTCTCTCCTTATGAAACTTGAAATTTAGTGCAGACATTGTGGTCGGTGGCAGACAGCATTTTTAAGGGAGAAGATTGTGTGAGAGAGGCATCGTTATCCAGCATTGCTTCTCTTCACACATCATCGTGTGCCTCAACATCTAATTCTCTTGGGTGGGAGGGAACCATAGATTAAAAATACAATCAGATTTTTCCACATTACTGGAAAAAATAAAAAGCAATGAGATATTTATGTCTCTCCATCAAAACGAGGAACATGACGTGATTAAGATATTTTTGTGTTATCTATACAGTTTGATGTACATAACAGTTTGAGTTGGGACTGGGTTGAGTCAGGAAAGGGAATGGGTCTGTGTGTGAAGTGGGGACTGATTCTTCACCCTTCAGTGTGGAGAAGGTGTATACTTTCAAGAAGTCACCATCCCTGAAGTGTCTCAAGTTGCTTTGAGATGGGGGGGGGATATCAAGTTCTTACCTTTAGTGCTAATGTGCCATGGTATTCCGTCTCCACATTTTTTTTGGAATTTTTTTTCCTGTCTCCACATAATGTATAATACCTGCTTCCATATGAACCTCCTCTGAGGTCATCCTCAGAGGCTATGATTAGCTGGCACCCAGAAAGAGAGGGGAAGAAAAACTAAACCAGCCAAGCAAAAACTTCCAAAGGAAGTTCATAAAACTAGTAAAGGGCCAAAAGTTTAAAACATCTATAGGTATAGACAAAAGTACACGTGTTTATTTCAAAAACACATAAAAACCTTATCGGGGCCCAAGTGAAACATCATAAAACAATACAAGTGACAAACGCACAAAAAGAACAGTATATGACCTGAAATGTTTCAGCCCACAAGAGCCTTCTTCAGAGGTCAAATAGTACAGAATATAACATGCAACAAACAATTGATATTTGACCAAAAATGGAGTGTTCCAATTTGGAATTGAATGACACACACACGCAAAAAAGTGGGGCCACAAATGTATCTGGTCTTGTGTCATAAGCAGTTGCATATATTGGAGATAGTAATAGTACCAATATGTACCTTCCAGTTTAGGTCATAAGAGTACAAGTAAAATTGCCTTACCAGGGCCAATGTAAAAGTGCTGAAACTTTGGAACTCCCTTCCCAGGAAGGTTGGTCTTGTCTCCCTCTGTCGTCTTCTGCAAGAGGGTAAAGACCTTTTTTCATCTGGTTTGACATTCTCTCACTGACACTTACTAGCCCTCCTCCCTGTTTGTGTGTGTATATGTGCATGCATTTATATGCTTTATTTGATTGTTGAAAATATTTTGGATATATTTTTGTATTTAAAATGCCGTTTTACAGTTTGTAATGTTTTAGTGTTCGCCGCCTTGGGGACCCTGAGTTGAGTAGGAAAGAGCCATAGAAATGTTTTAAATAAACGGGAAGGAGTAGGACTGGGGCAGGGAAAGGTAGCCTTGGTAATGGGGGATGGGAAGCTTCTTGGTACGAAGGAGCCTCATGTTCACGTACTGTATACAAAGAAATTGTGGGGAAGGCATGTGTACATAAAATGAGTAAATTTTAATTTTTTAAAAATATGGAGATAACAAGATAACAATGAAGGGGGAGATAGGTAATGGCAGAGCAGGTAGCCTGTGGAAGGAGATAGAACTCCAAACCATCAACCATCCTGTCACAGAATGGATACACCTCCAACAAACCAAGTGAAACAAGAGTGCTGTGTGAGCAGATCCCAGAGGATAGTGAGTAGTTGTGTGGAAGTTTCAAATACAGCGGTTGGGAGCACCAGTTTGGTGTAGTGGTTACGAGCACAGACTCAAATCTGGGAGAACCGGGTTTGATTTCCCACGCTTCCATGTGCAGCTACTGGTGTGACTTTGGGTCGGTTACAAGTTCTTTCAGAGCTGTTCTCTCCTCCTCCTTCTCTATAACTGGAGGACTGGGGGGGGGGAATACAGCAGCTTGGGGGGGAAGCCATGGGAAGTCTCAGGGAAAAAAATGAACAAATGGTATTACTCCCAGGGGGAGCCTGTATTGTGGATCGTAAGCACCCCTATCTGGCTTTCTGCCCTTCTCTCACCAAGCAAAGATAGGCCCTGGCTCTCCACCTAGGTCTAATAGGTTTCTTTCAGATAACTGAGAGACCAACTGGCCTCCTTCAGAATGTCCTCCCAGGATTTTCCTTAGTCAGGGCACACTGGCTGGGCCTTAGAGGGGCTCCCTTGCTGATTGGTCATCTCCTTTCAGCGCCCTCACCTGGTTGGCACATGCCAGAGAGTGAGGTGGTAATGACGTGACAAAGCCCTGAGCCGTAGAATGGTTTATAACACTTGGGACTGCAGGTGGTGAACAGATGAGGACATTCTTTCATATTCCGGAAGATTCCATCAAAGTGTAACATGGGGGGGGGGAATAGCAGAGGAATGAGAGATGTTCCACCTCCTGGCTTTGACTGCCGTGTGGGTTACCTGTCTGCAGAAAATTTGTAATTTCAGGGGAGCATTCCAAAATGTGATCCTCCTTGATCTTCTGCCTGCTGTTTTGAAGCCGTGCAGCCCATTTTACCACCCAAAGCCTCAGCCTCCTCCTTGCCTTACATCGGCGAACCAGGCCACAAGCCATTCAGTTTCATGTCAGCCTCTCATTCCCACCCACTCAATCTATTTACTCCACATTAAAAAAATAAATAAATTAAAAACCAGAGCTTACACTCCCACAAATAGGGAGTTTAGAATATGAATTGATGTGAATTCTGGTGCAGCAAAACACAGATTTCATATAAAATGCACAGGCATGTGATGGCTTCCTAGTGCATGACAAGGTGGTGGTGGAACGTGCCATCAAGTCGCAGCCAACGTATGGCGATCCTGTAGGGTTTCCAAGGCAAGAGACGTTTCAGAGGTGGTCTGCCGTTGCCTGCCTCTGGGTAGTGGCCCTGTCCCTCCTTGGTGGTCTCCCATCCAGATATTTGTTGGGGCCGACTCTCCTTCGCTCCCAAGATCTGAAGGGATCAGGTAAGCCAGGGATCTCCAGGTCGGGACAGTGCATGCCCATACTCTGCTGCTTTCCGCACATCAAGCTGTTAGTCATGGCACAAGAGCAGATCGTGCTGTCTTTTCCCTAGTCAGTTGGCAATTCTGCCTATTTATTTAAGGGTATTTTTGTTATCCCGCTGTTCTCCCCTATGGAGAGCTTGCCTTGAAAACCACAATTTTTTAGTTGCTACCCTACTTGTTCCCAGCACAAGGTCAAATTCCATTCTGGTAAAAAACAAAATTACATATCCTTTGTCCTAGCTGTATAGTTGTCTGTTCTGACTTTAAAATGTGTTGGTTCTTGCATGAGGGTGCCCATGTGGCTGAGTGGCATAACCACATTATGCTAATTTGAAGCATACATGATACTGATTTGATATGCATTCTGTGGAGATACGACTTGAGAAGAAGAAGAGGAAGAGGTTGGATTTATACCCCGCCCTCTACTACCTGGAGTCTCAGAGTGGCTTACAATCCCTTTCCTTTCCCCTCCCCAAAACGGACACCCTGTGAGGTAGGTGGGGCTGAGAGAGCTCTCGAGAACTGCCCTTGGGAGAACAGCTCTGAAAGAACTTATGACTGACCCAAGGTCACACCAGCAGTTGCATGTGGAGGAGTGGGGAATCAAACCTAGTTCTCCCAGATTAGAGTCTGCACTCTTAACCACTACATCACTAACTGTCTCTCTTCAGGAGCTGCCCGTCATGACATAGAGAGGATGTATGGAATGTGTGTGCCAAACGTGTTTTGAAATTATGTCCTGTTATCTTCTTTTTAGCTTTTAGGGTGTCAGCCAGAGCCAGGACAAGATGGCTGCTGCTGTACACGCTGCTGAACAATCCCAGTCTCACGAAACTCAGGAAGCCAAAATCATGGCCTCAGTCTGTGCATTTCCCTGCAAAATTTTCTGTCTGATGAGCTCTGCTGCTGAAATGGTGCTGTAGAAGACCACAAAACAGACACTCTGACTGGCAAACTGAATTGTGATTGAAACAAGGCCTGCAGGGAACCTGACCTCTATGCCACTAAGAGTGGGAAGATTGGGATGTCCAAGTGATACCAGCAGAAGTTCCCAACCTTGTTGAGCCCATGACTGATTTTTGGAAGTTTGAGAATAGGAGTCGAGCATCGTGACAAAATGGCTGCCATTCGATGGTACAGTGAACCACAAAATGGCTACCATGGAAGCTACGTCCAATGACAGAATGTTGGGAGAAAGCATTTTCCTATGATGGAAGCACATGTTTCCTGAATGGGTGCACCCTGCAGACACGAAGGAGATGTCTCCTGGACCTTCTGAAGCACATTCTGCTCCATGAGGTGGAGGAAAGCCAGGAAGTAGCTTTTTGCTTTAGGGAATAGATGGTTTGGGGGAAGAATGCAACGGGTGCCAAGAAACATATTGATGGATGTCATGGTGACCAATGGACACCATGCTGGTGATCACTGAGTTCAGGGCTACTTGCTGACCTCTTGCTTATATTGTTTTCGAAACTGACGTCTTTAAAGGAGTGTGTGAAATGAAAGTGGAAAGCATTAAACAAAGCAGGGACATTGAACGTGTCAGCAGTTTGCCAGCAACTCTGACATGTTCAAATACATGGCACTCCTTTAAACTGAGTCAGGCTGTTGGTCGATCAAAGTCAGTGTTGTCTATGCAGACTGGCACCAGCTCTCTAGGGTTTCAGATAGAGATCTTTCTTATAATCTACTACCTGATCATTGAAAACTAGAGGTGCCAAGGACTGAACCTGGGATGGTCGGCATGCAAAGCGAAGCACGTGTTCTGTTAGCTGTTGCAATATCTCAGGAAAGAGAGATTTGAAAGATATCTTTGCCAAAAATCAACACTTGTGTCCAGTCTTTTCTCCCCCAGCATCAGTGTTTCATTCTGGCCTCTTTGTACCATCTGGACTGGCAGTCCAAATATTAGACAGGGTCATAAAAACTGGAATTCAGGCAAGGGAGACATTTGTAGCCTCCTGATAACCTGTAACAAGGCAAGGTGATTTGGGCAAGGTGATCGAGAGAGCCGTGGCTGACCAACTGCAGGTTGCCTTGTGTAATGCTCCTGCTCTGGGCCATTTTCAGTCTGGTGCCAAATTACAGGACAAGAGATGGCACTGGTAGCTTTAATTCATGATCTCTGTCTTTGTTCTTCCTATGGGATTTATGTGCAATTTTTGATACAGTGGATTATGTCATACTCTTGAGATGTTTAGAGCCATATGGAGGTATTGGGGGTTGTGCTTTGGATTGGTTTAAATCGTTTCTTAAGGGTTAGACTGAAAGGGTCACCATTGGAGACCAGTTATCATCAGTATGCGATTTGTCCTATGCAGTTCCACAGGGTGCAATCTTATCCTCCATACTATTCAATATCTATGTAAAACAATTAGGAGAAATCATTCATAGTTTTGGAACTGGGTGTCATCCATATGTTGATGACACCCAGCTCTGTACAGATGTCCTGATCAGGCCCATAGCCACAGCGGTGAAAAAGGGGGTGGTGCCCCATCAATCATTTGTCATGCCCCTCCAATCAGCTTTACAGGTTGGTGTGAATCCTGTCATACCTCTTTCAGGTGTAAATTTTCTTTGTAAAAAAGGAAGGAGTTCAGGTAAAAAGTGTGAATCCTGTCATAAATCTTCCAAGGGTGAATTCTCGATGCAATTGGCTAGAACTGAATTAGCAGGGATGAAGAGTTCTGATTTTAAAAGGCTGCAGGGGTGTTGAGTGGCACCCTTAGAAGCCTTGAGTTAGTGATTTTCAGAGAACAGAAGGTTGTATTTACAGTTTCAAGATTCAGTAACTGGAAGAAGGGTCTCACACATCTTTAATTTTGCAAATGATGTAAAAGAGTTGCTTGGGATGGCATTCTTATAAAGCTTATACAGAGGACTGTAGTCTGTGCCAAAGTGTGCACTATATATTATTGATTTGTTGTATGTTCTATCGTGCTCTTACAGCATTGTTTTCATTTTTTGTAATTCCATTTTCTGCATTGCTAGACAGCATGTTTGATACTTTTTTTGCATTTTTGTACACCTAGTCCTATTGCTTTTTTTTTAAATTAGCTCTCTCATGCTTCTTGATTACAGTGTTCTGTACCATGTAATCCACTTTGAGTCTCAAGTAGAAAACTGGTAAATAACTAATAAAGTACAAATAATCAAGTAAGTAAATAATGATGGGCTGACCACCGCTGTGCTCATTTGCCCCCCCCCCAATAAGAACACCCCGCTCCCTCATACTTATTTTGGAACACCTCTCCCAGGCTGGGGTTGTGTTTGGTGCTTACTCAGGCCTCTGAGGCACCTGTCCTTCTGCTCATGCTAAGCAGAGAGGCTTAGCTTCATTGGTTCCTCGGTTTAGGACACCCCCTCAGCTTTGTGACTATCTCTGGCTGGCTGACACACTCCTCCTGAGCTGTGATTTCTCCAGAGAACACTTTCCTGGGGGCATCTGCTTTTGGGGGGGCACTACTGCCCCCCCAGCCAATCCTCACCAAACTTGGAGGGCAGGTAGAGGGGCATTCCAGGGAGGACCTCTGTGAGTTTGATGCCTCTAGTTTGCAGGGGGTCCATTTGACATATTCCTGGACCTGTGCCGGTGATTTTTGGAGGAGAGTCAGTTGGAGACTTGCTGTGAGTTTGGTGTCTTTAGCCCACAGTTCTACCGCATCACGAACCTCACGAAATGGACCAGTTCAGTAAACTGGAACCGAAACAAACCTCCATTTTCCTGGTTCGTACCCATCCCTACTGTAGACTATACTACTGTGTAAAGTAGGCATTATCGGGTTGCTGTATGTATTACCCAAGTCTCACTGCATTGTTTTCTACTTATGTAGTACCATTTTCTGTGCTGTTTAACAGAACATGTGTGATACTTTATGATTTGATACAGATTTCTGTAATCCTAGTCCTGTTACATTGTGAATTAGATGTTTCAACCCGTTGATTGAATTGATTCACACTGCCTGGAGTCTTGGTGAGAGACTATGAATAAATAAATCTAGCAGGATGTCAGTATACTCGTGAAAGAATTATTTTGTTTTTTGTAAACTTTATTCAATAAAAAAGGGGGGAAAACCAGGAATAAATCCAATATAAGTGAAGAACTAATATACAGGCTATATATTACAGAGCTGTTATAAATATCAGTTATACAGAATCATATTATCTTCTCATTCTAGATTTTAAAAAATTCCATTTTCCAAATTTATCAGACACTTGACCATGTAATACAAAGGCTGGTTTATGGAAACGAATTCACTCTGCTAATATTTCTAACCAATTCTCCTTCTTTGGAGTTATATTCTGCCAATTTTGAGTGAATGTTAACCTTGCAGATGTTAACAGCATCTAGAACAAATTTGTGAACATCCTTAAAAAATTCACATAAGTCAACAAAAAAACATCCTTAGGGGATAATGGTAACTCTTTCCTTGTACCTTTAGAAGTAACTGGAGCAATCATATTCCAGAATTCTACTGCTCTACTACTTTCCTACCAAATATGTAAAATAATAATAATAATAATAATCTTTCAATTTATTGATCGCTCAATCCTTGCAGCTGCCGGCTCTGAGCGATTTACAGTTACTCTTGACGCGGGACTAACAATGAGGGGGGTAAGGGAGGACAACATATATCATTTAAATTACACACATTCCACAGGCGACAAGGAATTCATGTACTTTCCTACCAAATATGTATAAAATTGGCATTGGTAGCTCCACATACCCAACAATCCCCATTAGCCCCTCGGTAAATTTTTGCCAATTTTATTAAGTTTTCTAATCAGAAAGGTTTACTGAAAAATTTAAACTGCCTCTTAACACTGATACCCAAATCTCTGGATTTATTGTGGCAAACTACAGCTGCTTGCATCTTCTTGATTTGTTGAAATACTTGTTTCTTTTTCTGCGGAGCATTCAGGCCATTGACCTTAATGGAAATTATCTTTGTCTTGTTCCTGTCCATCTTTATATGGTTTTTTATTTAGTTATTTAGTTTCCCGATTGTATTCTTCTCTTGCAGTCTTGTTACTATAATCTGTGTCATCTTGTCTTTTTTCTTTTGTCTCTGTGGTTTGGGTCCTGTTGCACCTTTATCCTGTTGGTCATCTGCTTCTTCTTCCTCCTCCTCCTCCTCCTCCTCTACTTTACCTTCTAACACTTCTCCATGGTTTTTTAGAAAATCTTCCATTTTGAATATTGAATTTATTCTAAATCTTTTTCCTTCTACAGTAAAAAAGATACCTTCAGGGAGTAGCCATCTATATGTTATTCCATTCTCTCTCAGCAGGTTTGTAAATTGGGTGTAATTTTTCCTCTTTTCTCTTACTCTCCATGGAATCTCTTTAAGAATTGGGATTTCTGTCTCCTGTACTTGTAGTGTCTTTTTATTTGCAGTTTTCAGAATGGTAGCTCTCATTACGTTTTTATGAAATCTCACATGAATCTCTCTGGGCACCTTGTTTCTTCTTGCATATGCTGAGTTCATTCTAGAAGCCACGTCTATCTTGTCTGAAATATCTCCTTCCAAATACGTTGTCAATATTTTGATCATTTCCTCTATAACATCTTCATCCACTTTTTCTGGGATATTCTGGAATCTCAGCATATATGATGCTTTGTCTAACTCCAGCCTAATTAGAGAATCTTCTAGAAGGTCTTGCTTGGCCTCCATAAGTTGACATCTTTGGTCTAACTCTTCTGACTTCTCCTGTAGTTGAGTAGTGGACTGTTTCAGTGTAGTAATCTGTTAGGTATTTTCAACAATTTGCTGCTTATATTCTTGGGTTTGAGATGTTACTTGCAAGGCCAAAGCATTAAATTTTGCTTGTAGGGGTTCCACCACCATTGGTAATGCATTGCATATGGTCTGTGGGATTGTACTCTCTATTGCTTTATTTACAGCCTCCTTAATAATATTTTGCAATTCCTGATTTTGCATCTTAGCTGAATTTGAGGCTGCTAATTTTAATACACCTGGGGAGGGTCTAGTTGAACCAAAGGCCATTTTCCATTCACAAATCACACTTTTTTCAAAACCCTCCACCTCCCTTTTCTCCCCTTGGCAAAGTCAATATAAATCCTGTTGTTTTAATAATATTTCAATAATATTCACTCCAAATATAATTTAACCACAGTGTTCTCCTTATCTTGTTCAACAGTCTAAACAATCTAGCATTCAAAGACTATATTTTAACAAAAATAATTTCCGTCATCTACATTCCACAATACACACACAGTATATGTATCACCTGAAAGCCTTGTTCTTATTTTTTTAACTCTCTTCAGTGACCAGCACCTTTATTATAGGCAGTGAAAAATGCTTCCAGTTCCACAGTACAAATTTTTTTAAAACTCCTAATAAGTAGTATCTAATATAGTTAGTTCCTGGAATAGTATTTATAAAAGCAGGTAATTTTCTTATAGTTTATAAATCCACACAATCTTTGAAAAGCCCACCTTCAGGGGTTCAAGTAGACAAAATCTTATTTTAGAGTTCTTGTGCCTAAGTTTCTTAATAAGTAGTTAAAAAACTGATGAAATCCATAGGTAATCCACAAAACCAGACCAACATGAAATAAAAACCACGCTATAAGGAAAAAAATTAATCAATTCAGCCAGACCAGGTATAATCCGAGTATCTCAGACAGCTCCAAAAATCAAAGTAAATAGATAACCCACAAATCCAGACCAGCAGAACAAACAAAAAAGTAAAATTAATCCATCCCACCAAACCAGGTATAATCCAAATGTCTCAGTCAGTTCCTAAAATCAAAAATAGATAAGTTCCAAAGTTAAACAAAAAATCAAAAAGAGGAGTAATCCAGCAAGAATAATCCACCAAATCCAAAAGCATACCATTCACTCCATCAATTCCATCAACTCCAGAAAATATTATAGTAAGCCATAGGTGACAGGTCAAACCAAGGGAAAAAAGCCAAAATAATCCACCAGATCAGGTTAAGCACTGTCCAAGCATCTCCCTCTGAGCCATAAAAGAATACTTCACCAACTCAGAATCAATGACCATAAGACTCAGTCAGTAGTCTGCCAGTACAATACAGTACAGAAAAAGTTGAATTTTATAAGCAAAAAAGAGAAAAAAGAAGAGATTCTTTCAGCTACTTTCCATTCCTGATTTAAACCAGCTCCTTTTTCCTTTTTTACACAGTCAAGTAAAGGCCTGGGCTGCACTTCCCAGCCGAGATGTGGGGGGGAATCCACCACCCCTCTCGCTTTCCCAGGTCTTTAATTTGAATAGCCTTCTTTGAAAGCAGCTTGGTTCAAATTCAAGCCTTAAAGTTTCAGTCAGCAGTTCAGTACTCACGGCAAAGTAAACAGTTTGAAGAGAAGATTCTTTAGTAGGAGTAAAGCTACGAGAATCGGCTGATTGTGCCTCCGCGCCCACGACTCCCCATGAGCGCTCCCTTCCTGGGCTTCGCAATGGAGCGATTCGAGGTCTGCTCGGTCACCGCCATGTCCGAGAGCCCCCAAATCAAGATCCTGTCAGCAAGCTGCCATTGAGTGTGCTGTGTAACTTGGTAACATTGTACGCTTGGATATGTGCTCATCTGCTCACCCCTCCCCTTTGCTCATTAGGTGCATTCTTGTCTGTGTCGGCTAGGTCTGCTCTGCAACTTAGATAATGCCCAAGGTCAACAGCTGGAGGTGGAAAGGCGTTTGGAGTTATTTTGCTTATTATGTATTTAGAGCCTGAGAACTGCATTGCTGTTTATGTTATAGACCGTTTCGTTCCCAAGGTATTGGGCGCCTATTTTCCCTGGCTTTCCCGCACGCGGGAAGTAGAACCATTGGTCAAGACTTGGTTCAAATTCCTTTATTATGTTGTACCTCAATGCGAGAGGTTATTCCTAACAATCCTTGTGTTCCTGTTTTCACCATTGCTTTGCAATAAAGTTCTACTTTGATTCAAACGTGGATTTATTCGAATGCTTGGGGAATCGGACAGATCCCCCGCAAGAGCTTCCCTCCGGGAAAGCTCTTTGGGAGACCGGATCATTCCAGTCCTCCCACTAAGCCCAGGAGTTCTCCGGGAGTTGCTCGGGAGCCCTCCGAAGATGGCGGGCCACAAACCGGAAGTCGGGAAATGCCTGGAGATTTGACGGGTGGAGCCTGGGGGAGGGTGGGGTTTGGACCTCAGCAGGATATAATGCCATAGAATCCACCCTCCAAAGTGGCCATTTTCTCCAAGGGAACTGATATCTGTTGCCTGGAGAGAAACTGTAATAGCAGTAGATCTCCAGGCGCCACCTGGAAGTTAGCAATGCTACCTCTGGCCGATGCCTGGCACTGTTAAATGTGTATGTATGGACTAGTCATCAGTGTTTAAGCAATATTGTATCTTGTGAGCCTTCACACTTTTCCATCTTATCTTTGGTTAAGTTATTGGTATTGTCACTATTTGCAGGAGTTTGGTGCTGATAGCTCTGAAGTGTAACAGCGTCTGTCTCTGACAAGGAAACCTCTCAAAGTATTTCACAAAGGAGCTGCAGAATCCCCTCTTTATGCTAATACGAGGTCAATGTTTAACTAAATGTTTGCTTCGTGCCTACGGTGAGGGTTGTGGAATACTGAGAATTGCTGCACGCTGTCTTTATAGACCTGAATGGTCAAAGTTAGAAGCAAGAACTGCATTCTACAAGACTCTGGATGGGCAACAGGATACCAACATCTCCGGCAGATGTATAATTGCTTACTTATGAATCTAGAATTGCACACGTCTTTCTGGTACAGACCTCAGCAATGGCCACAACGATCTCCGCAGAGACATGGTAAGTTTGGGCAGTGACGTCGCAATCGTGAGGCTCACTTTGGGTGGGCCATCCACATCTTGCCGTTCTAGATTCCCAACAGCTCGTGTGTTATGTTGAATCGGCAGCATGCCATAGAAAAAAGGGGGAGGGGATGGTTATAGTTTTAAAGCCGTTTATTCTAGTGGCCATCACTATATCCTCTGGCAGTGAATTTCACATTTTAATCACTCACTGTGTAAAGCCGTTTAAATTATCATTCTTTAATGTCAGTTAGAGAGCTTTGTATAAACATACAGCAGACCCCGAGTGAGTAAAACCTTGCCTTAAAATTAAATTATCATTCTCTAATGTCAGTTAGAGAGCCTCACCCCGAGTGAGTAAAACCTTGCCTTAAAAAGTATTTCAGTGATCTCTAAAGTTTCAGTTTTTCAACGGAAGAAACTAAAAGTAAATTTTCATAAAAATGAACCTGCTCCTCCAAGTATGTCCCAGTTATTTTCCTGGGCATTCATGTCTCTATTTGGGACCAATAGTACTGATCAACAACATTATTCCCACCCCCAACTGGTTTTCCAACCTACCCAGGAAGTAAAATCTCGAGACGGTGACTCTGTTGTGCAAAGCATTCAATCCAGTTCTGACCGACATACCAGTCTCCGCAAGCGCTGTCAATAAGATCGGTTTTCTGCTAGCATGACCTTTGGCTGCCTTTCAATTGCACTTTGCAGATAGTTAACTGTGCTCATATCGTCTGTTGTCATTTACCCTGGCAGAGGTATATGAAGTCATGGTAGATTAGATAAAGTCAATTAGGAATTTGCTGCCTTCTTTAGTTGAGGCAAAGAGGTTGAAAATAGCAGTTGGTGCTGCTGCCACAATGGCAATCTTTAAACAGATAATTTCCCCTCTGAAATGGCATCGGCAACCACAGGTTGGACCTGGGGCTGCTGTAACATGTAGTTTGGCTCTGACTGAGAGCAAGTGAGCTGCTAATGTAACTAGGTGTTGCCAGCCGTTGGGCCACACAAAGAATCCTGGGGTAGCCAGGAGTTGTGCTCAGAGGCAGGCGAGGAGGCAAGCAGGATTTACAAATGAACAGTGGTCTACCTATTGAGCTTTGGAGGGCCACTATTGGTGTTTCCAGGGCTGCAGAAGTCCACCCCTCCATTGCTTTGACAATGAATTGATCAGCACCAGTGTGTCTACCTCACTAACCGCTGACATGAACCACGTGGACTTCCATGAAAACCATGGTGGCTTGTGGGAGGTTTGTGGGAGATGTGATTGCATGAACCGTGGCTCACAAACCACACGATTTTCGTGATGAAATAAGGTTCATGATGAGGTTCGTGCCCCCCCCCAGTCAGGACATCACATTTGGGTCCCTTATAGATGCCCAATGGAATGGCATGTTTCCTCCGTAGCCTGGGGGTCCCCAACTTTGTTGAAGCTGTGGGTACCTGTGGAATTTTGTAAACACGGAAGGACTGGCACTCCAAAATGAATGCTATGATATGCGTGCAGCAAGTCACCAAATGGCCGTTATGGGGCCTGGGGCCAATCACAAAATACTAAAAAGTTCCAAGCTTAGCATTCTCTTATGATGAATGGGCCCTACTTGCAGAAACAAAGGTAATGCTTCCTGTGCTCTTCTGACGACGCTCTTCCTGCCCCAGTGAGGTAGAAGAAAAGTAGTAGCGGCTCTTTGCTTTCAGGAAAACACATGATCCTCTGAGAACACTGATAGGTCCCAGCACCCCTGTGGGCACCAAAATGGAGATGAGTGCTGAAGTGTAGACTCAAGTTTATGATGCTCTCAAAAATGCTAATTTAGAAAGGGTTTGGAGAAGTTGATGCAAGGTCGTTTGAATATACAGAGCATTCTGTTTTATTCAGGGCCCCTGTTTTTCCCGTGTTGTGCTCCTGATGTTCCCAGCAGAAACTAAGCTTTATATAAAGAACCAGCTGGAACAGATTTAGGGGAGTTGGAACCTTTCTGTAGCTTTCAAGTAACGTCTGTTTATCTACTTTTGTGTTTCCTGAGCAGGGCGCCGAAAAACGAAACCTGCAAAAGTTCAATCGACCTGCAAGACTTTCTACACTATTCGCTTGTTCCATCAGTAAGTGGACCGATTTCCTGTTGCCTCAACAGGAGTAGGGCTTGACATGTTCACATCAGTGGCTTTTGTTCCCCTCTTGCAGGTTGCCATCGTTATAGTGCTATCGTGCCTTGAGAAAAGACCTAGAAGGCCTATTGATGAACAATGCCCCCTTCTCAAGACCCAGTGTGGGACTCTGATGTGAGTCTTGAGTGGCTCTTGTCCGCTGCTACCACAGACTTTGTATGTACAGGTAACCCCTCAAAATAGGAGCCACATAACATGAAGAGAGATGGTGGCTTTTGTGATCCGCAGAATGAACATGATTGGAACTTAAGAGAAAGCCAAAGTTTTCCAACCATAGTCAAGTAGATGCTTCTGGGAAGGCTAAGGAGATGAGAGAGCTTCTAAAAAATATCCAGTCTCCTTTCCACCCAGACTCAAAATTCCACTTCATTTGTTTCATCAAATGTGTTTGAATAAAGAACGGCTCTAGAGCTGTCTTGACTTTAGTGCCTGGAAATCTCCTGGAATTACTACAACTGATCTCCCGATAACAGAGATCAGTTCCCCGGGAGAAAATGGCTGCTTTGGAAGGTTGACTATGGCATTATACCCCACTGCGGTCCCTCCCCTTCTCAAACCCTGCCCTCTCCAGGCTCCACCCGCCAATTCTCTAGACTTTCCCAACCCAGAATTGGCAACCCTACTTGAGCTTTCTCAGACATCAGACCTAACTTTCGCCCATAGCCTTCACATGTCATTTTTCATCATGTATACCTGCTAATCATAGGCTTGTACCCTAGTTTCTAAGGAAGGGTTGCCAGGGCCACCAGCAGGGGAAGGGGGGTTGGGTGGCCAGATTCAGTTTGGGAAGTTCCTAGAGATTTGGGGATGGAGCCTGGGGAGGACAGGGACCTCAGTGGGGTACAGTGCCATAGAGTCCACCCTCCAAAGCATCTATTTTCTCCAGGGGAACTGATCTCTGTCGTTTGGAGCTGTAATTCCAGGAGAACCCCAGGTCCTACGTGGAGGCTAGCATCTCTGGAAGGTTACTAGTGTTGCTTCAAGAGGGGGTGCATTTCTGTTATTTTGCTCTCCCAGTGCCAATCCTCCCCCCCCCCATTTCCTATTTGCTATTCATAAAGGCCTGCAGACCCTGGAAATAAAATTTCAGGCCGTTCAGTAAGCTGCTGTTGGAGGGGAGCATTACTAGTGGATCTCATTGGATGAAAACCATTATTATTATTCTCAATGTGTAGGCCAGATTTTCTCCATGGAAACATGTTTAGGAATACTGGCTCACTTGGGCTGCATACGTTTACTTGTCGCAGAAGAACCTACAACTGGGTTGAGCTCAAGTTTTTTCATTGCCCAGGCAAATGATAGTTTTGCTGCCCTAACCCTAACCCCATTCTTGTAAGAATAGCACACTAAATGTTCAAGAACTGACTGGATTATTAGTTCTGATTTTCATGTTTAATTCCAGTAAATAGACTAAGTGCTACTATGACCACACTAATATAGAATAAATACTGTCCTGTAAATCCTAGGTACTTTCTCTGAAAATACAGACAAACTGAACAATGAAAGTGTGAATCAAAGCATAGATTTTAAGTTCCCAGTTTGCCTTTGTACCTAGATAGAACACCTGGCCCTCACCCTGTTCTATGGTTGGCAGCTAGAGCATTTCTTCTGTATTCTTCTATATTCCTTCTGTAGTCTTCTGTGTTTTTTCTGTATTCACCTCTGTTAAGTTAAAACATAGCAGCCATCCCAAACCAGACGACATATACTGCACACCAGATCTTGATACTTCTTAATCGAGTTCCAAAACCTTCTTGTTCACAGACCCTTGGATTTCGTAGGGGCATTCCACAATCGGTGGTCACTGGCCTTTGCCTTTGGTGCTACAGCCAACAAGGTCATGATCCTGTTCTCAAAAGGATCCCTCCCTGTGCAAGTGCCCCAGTGGGCTCGAGGTAAACAGCACCCTTCCAGAAATTTCACCCTGGTGCATGAATCAGTTCTGCCATGACTGAGCCCTAGGTTCCTGAAGTTATTAGTGTAAAGAGTTTGAAAATTAGAGAAATAGGTTGAAATGAAGGTCACAGTTCACAATGTTTTTCTTCCCTCTTTGGAAGGCACCACTCTCTGCAGTGACTCGGTTTCCCCCCAGCTTTTGTTTTGCAATGGGTGCAATGCTGAGAGAAAGTGTTCCCCTTAGCAGTCGTTGAATGCTAGTGGTCCAGGGTGAGTCACCACTTTAGAAGGCTGAGCAGAAATCAAGGAATGTTTGTGAAACACCTCCCCTTCCTTTTCAGTGATTTTACTTGTGCCTCTTCGTGTTAGGGTATGAAAATATTTGCAAGGGGGAATAGGTATCAGGGGAATCCCTGCTTTAACCATGTAAGCTCGCTGGGTGACCTTGGGCCAGTCACATTCTCTCAGCCTAACCTACCTCACAAGATTGTTGTGGGGAAATGAATTGGGGGGGGGAGAACAATGTTCTAAGCCACTTTGAGATCCCGGTAGTGGGGGGAAAGTGGACTATAAACAAACAAATACAAATGCATGCATGAAATGTGCCAAGGCAACCAGGCCGATTCTCCCTCCTCCCCCATTCCCCCTCCCAGTCAAATTTAATTGACTAGTTGGGACAGAACGTGGATAGAGTTGTACATCTGGATGAGCAACTGAATAAATGATCCATTTAAGGCAAGACAGAACAAGATGGGCAGCCCTGTTAGTCTGTCTGTAGCAACAGAAAAGAGCAAGAGTCCAGGAGCACCTTGAAGACTAACAAAATTTGTGGTAGGGTAGGGTATGAGCTTTTGTGAGTCACTGCTCACTTCTTCAGATACAATATAATGCAGTTTAAATGGATGATGTAATGGGGTGAAAATCTGGCCACATAGCAAACCCACCTGTATAATGCAGGAAGAAGCTGATTGTCTAGGCAACGTGTCCCCCCTCATTTAAGGTGAAGGCAATGGGAGGGACTCATTAATGACATCATATAACCAAACCTGATCAGGCATATGGTGTTTCAATGTCATTAAGTTCATGACATGAACTCACAAATTGTTTGTCCCACCATAAATACAAACTACTATAAGAAAGTATTTTATAAATTTGTGAGGAATTACCACAGAATTCCTGTCAGAAATGGCACAACCACATACTCCTAGAGAGGGAAATACATCCAAGTACTACCCAGGACTGACCATGCTTAGCTTTTGAGATCTAATGAGATCGGGCTAGACTGGAGCATCCAGGTTAGGGCTGGCTGTCTTACACTGAAACCCCAATTAAATATGACTGACCATGTAAGTTTTCCGTCTTATTTAAAAGTGTTTGCCACAGACACTGGCCAATACACACGCTGAGTAGTGTTAATATGTGTTCAAATGAGACAGGAGCCATATGGAATGCTTGCATATATAAGTAAGAGCAGGGGACTTTTGGGGCCGGAGTGCACCCAGACACCATAAAAAAATGGCGGTGGCAGCAAGCCCTGCCCCCAGCTCCCTGCGCTGCGGCCTCCCACCACCTCCCTGGGCCAGCACCGGAGCGCTGCAGCCCGTGGGAGGGCAGAAGAGGCCCCCCACCGCCTCCCAGGGCCAGAGCCGGAGCGCTGTGGTCCATGGGAGGGCAGAAGAGGGGCCCCCTGCCACCTCCCGGGGTAAGTGAGAGATCCGCGGGGGGTGGCGGAGGCTTGATTGGGGGAGTGGGGGTGGGAGAACCTCCCCCCATCTCTTTGCCCTCTTTCTTTCCCTTCTTTCCTTCCCCTTTCCTTTCCTTTCCTTCCTTTCCTTTCCTTTCCCTCCTTTTCTTTCTCTTTTTCCCTTCTCTTCCTTCCTTCCTCTCTTTTCCTTCTTCTTTCCTTCTCTCTCTTTCTCTCCTTCTTCCCTTCTCACTCTTTCTTTCCTTTCTTTCCCTCCTTTCATTCTAAGGGAAGGGGAGGCTTTTAAGGTGCCTCCCCCCTTTTGCTTCCCCTTCTGACATCACTTCTGGTGATGTCAGGGTGCGTTGCATATGCTAATGAGCTATTATGCTAATAGCCTAGTAGCTTATTAGCATACCATATGCTAATGAGCTCCTGCAGCTCTTTTTCTAGGAAAAGATTCCTGAGTAAGAGTCGGTGTTGTTGAGTGGTTAAAGTGTTGGAATAGGACTTGGAAGGCCTGGTTTCAAATCCCCACTAAGCCATGAAGCCACTTGAATGAATGGTGAGTATTTGAGGAAACAGAGGGTGGAGAAAACCCTACAGGGCCTGCTGGTTGCTCTGAGCCAGTCACTCGCTCTCATCCTAACCTCTGCCTCATGGGGTTGTGGTGAGGATAAAATGGAGGAATGGAAAACCATAAGAGATCCAGTTTGGTGTAGTGGTTAAGAGCACTGGATTCTAATCTGGAGAGATGGGTTTCGTTCCCCCACTCCTCCACATGAAACCAGCTGGGTGACCAGTCACTCTCTCAGCCCCTAAAAAGAAGAAATCTAGCTTGCCACTGCACAATGCTAAGAGCTAGAACTTGCACTGCCAGACAATCTAAGGATCACCTGGCTCTTATACACACAATGCCATACAATAATTTAATTTTATTTTTTTTACGAAAAACCATGTATGCCACTCTGAGCTCCTTGACAGAAGGGAAGGATAAAAATGTAACAGATGGATAGATGGGCTTATCTGTGACCACTCTCATGTCTAAGTCAGGCATGAGTCAGACCATTGGTCCTTAGGGCAGCTCTTTTACCACATTTTCCATCTCTTGGGCAGGGCTGCTTCACCTGCTCCTCAGGTCCTTTAAGTGGAGACGCCCAGAACTAAACCTGGGGTTTTCTGTCACCAAGCATGTACTCTGCCACTGAGTTGTACCTCTCTGAATTCCAGCACTCTATGCATTAATATCCACCATGCTGTCCTAAAATGAGGGTTTCTGGGCCCAATTTCTATCTTCTTGCAGCTTTTGTGATTCTAGTCTGTGCCATGGAAGTCGGCCTTTCTTCCTATCCATTCTTCACCTGCCTTTCAACACATTTCCAGATCACAGGAGCCGTGCTTGGATTCCTTTATACGGGGTCTTGGTAAGATATATTGGTCTGAATGCCACTCCGAGAGATGGTGGGCTTTAAGGAAATGGGGGAGGGGTGCAGAGAGAGCCTAACAGAATCTGTGTTTGTCGGCTGTAATGGTCTTCAGAGGGATAATAAATCGAAATGGTTGCCATTACCACCAAGGCTAGAGTTGTCAGCTCTGGGTTGGGAAATTCCTAGATATTTGAGGGGGGAGCCCGGAGAAAGAAGAGTTTGGGGAAGGGAAGGACCAGTCCACAGTGGGGCATAATGCCCTAAAGTACGTCCTCCAAAGCAGCCATTTTCTCTAAGGGAACTGTCCTCTATAGCCTGAAGATCAGTTGTAATTCCAGGAGCCCTCCAGACCAGTGTTCCCTCTAAGCTGAGTTAGTGTGAGCTAGCTCACAGTTTTTTAGCCTCCAGCTCACACATTTTTGTTTCAGCTCAGGAAGGATGGTTCTAGAGCAAACTAATTTATGCAGTAGCCAAATTGCTTGCTCACAACTTTAATGCCAGTAGCTCACAAAGTAGAATTTTTGCTCATAAGACTTCACAGCTTAGAGGGAACATTGTTCCAGACCCCACCTGGATGTTGGCAACTCTAAATATAGTTCTCCCAGCTGAGTCTCAAAGGGTTACGTGCAGTCTCTGCTACGGAGGTTTCCAACTACTTTTCCAGCAGGGCTCTTGTACATTTAATATGTGCACGTGAGCCATAAATCCTGAGCATGCAGCATTCTCCATCACAGCGTCTTCATGCTGGGGGAAGACTTGCCTGTTGCATTTCTGTCTGACCTGTTACTATTCCATAAAGGAGCTCCACTTTTTTTTAAAAAAAAAGTCCCCCCAAAGCACGGGTCATTTCGCAGACAGAGATGCAGGAGCTCATTAGTATAACTCATTTGCATAACTTGTTTGCATATGCCACACCCTCTGACATCACCGGAAGTGTGTCAAAAGGCAACCCCCACCACTCAGGCTCCACTGGACTGTTTTGGATTGCTAGCTATTTTTTTTTTAGCTCCCCTGGACTGTTTTGGATTGCTAGCTATTTTTTTTTTTGGGGGGGACATGCAGATCTGTCCTCGCAGAGGAGGGAGAGCTTGTACCTGAATAAAACTTGGTCTTAAAGGTGCCACTGGACTGTTTTGGACCGGGGGGCCAGCCATTTTCCAGGAGAATTGATCTCTCTTGTCTGGAGAGGGGTTGTAATTCCAAGATATCTCCAGCTACCACCTGGAGGTTGGCAACACTATGTGTACCTTATTAACATCTAAGAGATAAGGTTGTTGACCTGGGGCAGTAGAATGTGCTTAAACCTTCTTTTTAGTATTCCTTGCTCAGTCCGCTGTGTTTACCTATGTAGTATGTTCTTTTAGTTTTCTTATTAGTCTTCTTTTCATTTTAAAAGCTGTCAGTCTAATCTCTGTAAAATATTTTTTTCGTATTTTTTATATTTGCGTGTGCGCGCGCATGTGAGTGTGTGTGCACCTGGAAGTCATGGTGACCTCTACTGGGGGCCTGGAGGATATTCAGAGAGGTGGCTGAATAAAGCCTACATCTGTCCTCCTACCTCTGGTATTTCAAGGAGGTCTCCCCTTCGAAGTACTTGCCAGAGTCGACCCTGCTTAGCTTCCAAGATCTGACAAGATCGGGTTTGCCTGGGCTATCCAGGTCAGGGTTCTGTGAAATGTTTTAAGCCCCATTTGCCTCATGCTTACCAGGTGCAGAAAAGGGGAGAGAGAGAGAGAGAGAGAGAGAGACAAAGAGAGAGAGAGAGAGAGATGAAAGCAGTGACCAAAAGAGAGGACAGACTCAGCCCAAACTTCTGCTGAGCTAAAGCCTCATTGAATTGGTTTACTAGTGGTGGAGATACCCTGAAAGAGAAGTGTGGGATTGGAAGAAGAGGAGCCGAGCCCGGGGGGGGGGGGGTGTCTAGAAGCTGGATACCTGGGTTGGCTGAGTAACTTCCTCATGCCTGAGGTGCAGGAATGGGCACTTTTGAGGCCCATCTCACCACACTTTTAACAGCCGAGGAAACCCAGGTTTTGCTGAGCCTTTTAACACCTGTAAGAACCCCAAATCCTTTTTAAACTTCTGGGAGATGGCATCAGACTTCCTGACGCATTCTCCCTTTGCAATTCTGTTGTTGGAGAATGGTGACTTCTGGATCAGAAGATGTGGACATTGTTTTTTTCCTCCTTGCCTAAGAACTTTGTGACTTAAATTAACAACTTTAAACAAAAGAAATCCAAAAGAAACTAACAAAAGAAATCCATCTTTTGTTTGTTTTTCAGGTTTGCAGTCATAGTGTTGAACACTGTGCAGTGCCCACATGGACAAGTAAGTATTGCTTATGTAATGACCCTGAAATGTTTGATTTCTTTTATTTTTTATAACAGCCCAGTAGGGTTAAGAGGGAAGGAAAGTATGGATTACTGAGACAGGCAGTCCAACAACCTCATTGTTTAAACTGAAGAACTTGGACTTACATTGATTAGTGCTTGAGGAAATGAAATCCAAATACCTTGGGTGTCTTCTCCTGCTTCTCTCTCTCCTCCTCTGAACTCAAAGTACTTCACAGACTTTATCTTTGTACTCTTTATAACAACCTTAGAAAGCAGACCAGAATTGTTGCCACCATGTTCCATAGGAGGGGCTGAGGCTGAGACAGAACAAATTGCCTGAAGGCCACCTAGTCTACGGTAGAAATGAATTCCGAACTGGGTGATGCAGTTCATTCTCTGAGCCATCGTTGTGACCCGAACTTGGTTTCAGCGATGGCTGTTATTCAGAAAAGGAGATCAAAATTCTCACACAAGGTGTTGGTTCCTGTGGAAAATTTCCACTAACATCAAGGGAAGGACAATTTTTTTTTTGCAAACTCCCCCCTCCTGCCACAGGCCTTTGAATCCCTCCTCATTCTGTTCCTAGGGGATCCCCTTAGAACAACATTTTGGAGACCATTTTTGGCTGCAGCAGGAAGGGGGAAGGAAGCACCACCCCACTGAGGGAAATCCTCTCTGTCAGCGGAGGTTTACCATGGGATCTGAGCCCATATGTCCAGGTCACAGTGCCAGAATGGGAAACAGAAACAAACATGACCTGGTATAGTGTGCAGTGGTTAAGAATGTTGCCCTTACGAAGAGAGCTGGAGGAGATGCTCTGGAAATCTTCTCATAACAAGTAATAAACTAACACATAAGCTTAGAAAGACAGGATCTCACAAAGTATATTGTTTATTAACAGTTTTTTTCATTACTAACTGCAGTCTAACAGGGTAATGATCTCCTACTCTTGGGTTTTTAGTTTAGTGTGGGTTACTTTTCTTTCTCCTTAGTTGTAGTTCCCCTTCCCTTCTTTTCTTTGCAGTTTATATAGTATTATAAAAAAATTAAAAATCTCCTCCGGGGGTCTTAAAAAAAAAAGAGAATGTTGTAGGCAGCTCGTCTTTTATTTCTATCTGTCATGCACAGAGGAGAGAAGACGGCATGGTATAGCCTGATCCCATCAGATCTTGAAAGCTAAGTAGGGTGGGTAATTGGATGGGAGACCACTGAGGATGGGTCGGCAGAGGAAGGGAAAAGCTAACCATCTCTCTGTCTCACTAGCTTTGAAAGCCCCTTGCTGGGGTGACATAATACATTGGTTGTGTACGTATCTTGCACAGTTAATCTTCCTTAGTCAACTGCAAGGAGCGACTAGGTGAACAAGATACCTAGTGGTCAATATCATTTCCTTCCCCCTCGGTGTCACAAAGCAAACACCCACCTTTCTTAGACTGTCAACTGTCTTGGATTCTCGGCAGTGCTTTTCACACTGTAAGTGGCAACTGTGCAACCAGGTTCTAATAACAAGAGAAGATTTAAGGAAAATTAAAATGTTCCATTTACAGTTTTTTAAAAAACATATAGTTATCCTCCCATTTCTATTCCTGGGATTACTTCAGTACAAATGGCTGTATTTTGTTGCTGTCTAAATGCAATTCCTTCTCTCGCTGGCTCGTCCTGCCTTCCAGTTGACAAAATTGTCACGGTTATCCCCTGTGGGCAATGGAGGAATGTTACCTGCAGGTGCCAATAGCATAACTTGGGTCAGACAATATAGTGGCATCTACCCTTGGTACAACTCGGGCAGGGATGTAAAAGGACATCACAGTGCACTTGATAAATTCACATGTATTGCAACCAATGCTCCCTCTAAGCTGTGGAGTCTTGTGAGCAAAAATCCTACCTGGTGAGCTTCTGGCATTAAAGTTGTGAGTGAGGGATTGGCCTGCTGCATGAATCAGTTTGCCCTGGAGCCCTTCTTCCTGAGCTAAGACGAAAATGTGTGAGCTGGAGGCTAAAAAACTGTGAGCTAGCTCACACTAACTCAGCTTAGAGGGAACGCTGATTGCAACTAATTTTGCCAAATTCCCCCCCCCCCCAAGTTCGGCATATCTAGGCATGTTTTCGGGGAGGCACAGTCCAACACGGTTATCAGCTTCCTGGGAGATTTAGTGAGAGAAACAGGCAGGTGTAGTAGCAGCCTTGCAATGTATAGGCTATTAAATATTGTTGGGTGAAGACGAAGACAGAACTGGAAAGGTGGCTTTGGATCAAGTTCTGCCAATTAGAATGCAGTGTGGCACTTTGGTGTGGAGGAATAATAGCTGTACATCTGCCTTGAGCATAGCGATGACCAGTTACAGCACTGGCAGGTGCCCTTTTTAATTAAGCCTTCTTTTGCACAGGTAGTGGGGGAATATGAAACAATCATTTTTTACTGGCCTTCCTTGCTCTGCCTGGTTTTCCTGCTGGGCAGATTTATCCACATATTGGTGAAAGCGTTATGGGTCTGTCTCCGGCTGGGTCTTCCAACTGTGAGTATTCACACATAACATTCATTCATGTGATAACTTTCTGAATAGCAGCCAGAATGGGTTATGTACCCTTGTTTGAACTCAGATTTATTACTTGTCTTACCCATGTACATGTGTGCAAGTTGAACATGAAATCAGCTTTCAGTCTTCAGTCTCCCATTTATCTTTCAGATGGGTTGATGATCCCACTTCTGTCTGTCTGTCTGTCTATCTTCTATCATCCATCCATCTTCAAATGAAATGTATGATTTAATGCACATACATATCCATCCTACATCTTACACGCCCCTCACCAAAAAGTATGCAACATTTTCAAAACAGTTATAAAACTGTGCCAGAGGTATGGCTGAAGTATGTTGATGACCCAAACACTAGCCAATAGGCACCTCCCACTGCCCATTTTCTCCATAAACTGGAAACTTACAGAAGTTGCCCCAGGACCTTAAAATACATCCATGGCTGCGATCACGTACACTAAATAATCCACTTTCAATCCACCTTCAATCCACTTTCCAACTGGATTTCTACTGTGTGAACTGGCAAAATACAATTCAAAAGTGTGTTGAAAGTGGATTATTTAGTGTGTGCGATCGCAGCCCATGTCTTCTGGGTACAGAAGATGCTTTGCTTTCCAATTACCTCTATAACACTTGCAGTGTTACATCTGGTTTTTAAAAAATCCTTATCCTAAAATGCTGGGCACAACTCCTTGAAACCCATTCTCTTGAAGGGGAAACAAGTTTGCTAATGTTAGATATATGGCTTTGATGAGTCTGGTGTTAGCTCAAACAGAGAAGGCACAGCAGTTTTGTATAAAGCATATGTGGTGTACAGCTGCTGGGCTCCCTGACACTCTTATCAGGTTCTGTATTTTCGGGGAGTGCTTTCCCCCTCTGTTATTCAGAGGATCAGTTCTGTCCTTATTTTTTATGGTCTGACCGCCGAATCACAGGCTTGTTGAATAATAAGCAACTATTCCCCTCCCATTTTCAGGAGGAGACGTCATTCCCTGGGATTCATCAGATTCATTATGTCCAGCAACTGTTGAGGAAGCCTCCAAAGCAGTGAGTATCATTCAGTTCCAAAGGCACTTGCCTTTTCAATCCGGAACAACCAATGTTCAGTCTTCTTCCTAGCATTTCATACATTCCCACTGTCCTTAATTACCAGCCACCATCTCTATTTTCTAGTGCATGTCCCTGATATAACACTGTCTGTATTCTGTTTTCTGCCTTTGGGAAGTTGCTTTCTAAACTGTTGGTGAACAGAGACATGTGCTAGAGTTCCTAAGTTTTTTGCCCCTTCTCCTGGGTTGTTAAATATTTGGACAAGAGACAGATACATCTTGAATCTTTGTGTTATATGTTAAGTGCTGTCAACTCACTTCCAACTTATGGAGACCCTATGAATTAATGACCTATGACTGACAACTTTGCTCAGGTCTTGCAAACTGAAGGTCGTGGCTTCCTTTCTTGAATCAGTCCTGAGTCTAGCATACACGCATATCAATGCTAGTGCATAGAGGCATAGAGGCAAAAGGCCACTGTGTTGCTTTTCTTCCATCCTCCATAGTTGCCTCTCCAGGCAGTAAATGTTCCTCCAAGAGCACTGAGATCTGAGTTGCAGAATCGTTTAGTCCCCCCTGGCCCTAGGGACGCTAAGTTAACAGCGACAAGAACTAGTTAAGTGCTGTCAACTCACTTCCAACTTATGGAGACCCTATGAATTAATGACCTATGACTGACAACTTTGCTCAGGTCTTGCAAACTGAAGGTCGTGGCTTCCTTTCTTGAATCAGTCCTGAGTCTAGCATACACGCATATCAATGCTAGTGCATAGAGGCAAGTGGCCAGTGTGTTGTTTTCTTCCATCCTCCATAGTTTGCCTCTCCAGGCAGTGAATATTGTTTAAGGGATCGGACCTGCAGCCATTCTGTAACCAAGATCCATTTTGAGATTAGATGTTTTGTCAAACGTTCTCAAATCAAGAATTGGGAAATGTTATGAGCAATCTCCCCCTACATCTCACAGTTCTATGACATTTGGAAGGTCATGGACTTTGTCACATGTCCCCAAACTGATTTAGCCTGGGAGGGGAGATGAATCTGTGGGGAAAGGATCTGGGCGAAGGTAGGGTCACTGCTTACCCATAACTACTTTGCCCGGCTTCTTCTTGAGATGAAGGGTAGAAGTAGGTTGCTAAAATGTAAATAGGGACAATAGATACTCACAGTTCTATGAAATTTGGAAGGTCGTGGACTTTGTCACATGTCCCCAAACTGATTTAGCCTGGGAGGGGAGATGAATCTGTGGGGAAAGGATGTGGGTGAAGGTAGGGTCACTGCTTACCCGTAACTACTCTGTTCTGCTTGTTCTTGAGATGAAGTGTAGAAGTAGATTGCTAGAATGTAAATAGGGACAATAGATACTCCCCCCTCCATTGCTCCCCATCTAATCCTGTGACTAAGAGCTGTGTTTCCTGATTAACAGCTAACCTCCCTCAGTAGGGGGCAAAGATATATTTGTTGACTGACAGCTAACATAATGAAGAGGACAATTAAGAAGCAGTGATAATCAAATCCTAAAAGGATGGATTGTAGCAGAGAGCAGATACCTACTGAGAACGCCTCCTTAGCTGGGTCCATACTCTGTGAGATGGGGGGGATCAGACAGAAGGGAGATCCTGAGGGTGATCTAGGAGACATTTCTTCCTCACAAACCAACATTCCTTCTGTGATCACCCAGCACCCGCCATGTTGTTCATACCTACCAACAGGCAGCCTCCAAAATCCTGGATTCAGCGGAAGGTGTACAAATGGGACCCTTACTTTCGATTCCCCAGCAGAATGACCTGCATGGCTGGGCTGGCCATAATCTGCCTCTACATGGTAAGTATCCGGGAGTTCTCATTTGGGACTCGGAAGTTCCAAGTGGAGAAGCGACATTCCACAGTGCTATGTTCTCTGTGGGTGACATTTGCCTGCCAAAAAACCTATGGGAGAGAGCTCAGCTCTTGCAGCTGAGCAGCCATGCTTCATGTGCTTCACATTAATGTGCTGTTTCACAAAACCACCTGCCAGTCCATTTAAAAGATACGATTTCCCACTTTGCAGCCTCTGTTTGGGCTGATCCTCACTTTGCAAAATCCTTGTGGTTGCCGTGAGTTCTTTGGATTGCCTGTGTATTGGGAGTTTTCCATGGGCCAATTCAGGTCAGGAAAACAGTGTAAAGTGCAGATTTCATTTACCCTCTCCTTGCATCATGCAAATTAGGGCCCTGACCACCGGGTTTTTTTGAAAACAAAAAAGACCCTGGGAGCTCCAGACACCCCGTTTGTTTTTTTAAAAAGAGCCAAGCTCCTGATTATTATTATTTTTGAACCCCACATTTATGATTACGACCTTTTCTGCATGCTGAAGTTACTCCTGATTTTCTTGGGGGTCAGTCCACAAGTACTGGAATTGGTTTGGGCAGGGTTCTTCCCCACATATATCCTCCCTGTGCATTTTTACAATTGTGGAGTCAGTTTATTTTCTTCCACGCATGGCTTAAAAAACGAGGATTTTCAAGGGAGGGTTATCGGTAGCATCAGAGCGCTCCCCTCTGTGAGGAAAGGGGCTAAAGACTTACGTTTTAAAAAATGAAAGCTGGGAATTTAGAGAACCTGCTTAAACTATTGTTACAACACTACAGCATTATACTGATAATTTTGTTGGAAGTGAAGGACTGTATGCTGTCTCCTGCCTGAGACTTCCGGGTGGTGGTGGTGGTGGTTACGATAAACTTAGAGAGAGATAGAGAGGTCAGAACACAGAGTTTTCCCTGCTATCCTCTTTGATGTGTAGAATGCTATTCTCAGGGAAAGTTTCCTTCCTTTCTTCTGTCTTGGAACCCTCTCACACACATATCGCCAGACTCTCCATTTTGGAATCCGGACATAGCCAGGGTTTTGTGGCTTGTGGAGCAATTTTTGTGTGTGTGGGGCTGAAGTTCTCAGTGCAGAAAGAAAAGCCATTTAGCCAATAGAAAGCTGTTACCAGGATAGATCTCTAAATTGCAAGCTGTCAGCCACTTTAGATGACAGTTCTCAGCTGCTGCAAGTTAATCACTTCTGCCAGCCTAAGCAGCAATTCTGAGAACAAGCCACCAGATGGGTGTGATGATTTCTATAGTCAGGAAAGCTAACACTTAGGCAGAAAAACTCTCTTAAAGGAGACCAGTTTATGGACACAGAGTTAGAAGGGATCCTAGAAGTCACCTACTCCAAAAAACCCTTGCTCAGTGTGGGAATTAGTCAACTACAGCACCCCACTCTGCTTAAAGGTGCACATGCCTTTAAAATGTTTTTAAAAGATTGAAAAAAGCATTTACAGGAAAAATTCTTGTGAGGCTATGCCTTTAAGAAAGGGGCAGAGCCCCCAAAAGCCCCACTGTAGCTACGGGCCTGCTTGGCATCATGGATGCAGGACGGGCTTTCCTGCATCTCTCTCCATCTAGCTAGTTAGACTAGATTAGGAGTCTATCTCTATACCCTTTCCTGTCTAGTAATGTTGTTCCTTATAATGAAGGACTAATATTAGTTTGAAAAGATAAAAGAGGCTCCATGTAAGCTTTGTTCTTTTCAGCACATACACAGACCAGATAAGCTTCCGTTGTGTAGAAGCTTTGTGCATTCTGCTAAATTTAAGGATGCACGAATCCTAACAATTTTAGGGCCTTTAAAAAAAATTGAAATCACTGTCTGGGGGAGGGGGGGAGGGAGTGGTTTAATGATGACAACCATCCAATCATTGAAAAATGGGATGGAAGTGAGTGGGAATGGATGGGACAATGAAAACTGATAGGAACATTACGCACTAGGAAAAAGCTGACACAAGATTGGCTTCCAGAAAAACATTGGGGGTAAAAATGGTCTTAACAGAGCCGGAAAAAAACCTGGGGGGGGGAAACAAAAAAAGTGAAATCTAAAGGCACAAAAATGTGTGCTGAAATAATGGGATAAACCCAAGCAGTATGAGGCCAGAACCGATTTAAAAACCCCATATAGAAAAGACCCATGTCTGAAGTGGCTAAGAGTGTAGTATAATATTTTAAGAGCTTCCATTAAGAGCTCTGACAAACAGCAGTAATGTAATCATTGCAATGGAAAAAATACCAAGCCCATAGCTATCGAGCCAACAGATCAGAGAAAAGACAGAATAGGAAGCCTACCATGCTTAATTCCAGGAAATTCTTTGCAACAGCACAGCATCGCATACCTGTTGGAAATCTAGGCAATGGAGCGCGTACATTTTATTTATCTGGAGTACTTTAAGCCTGACTGTCCAGCCAGACCACTGGTCTGATCCAGCAAAGTTCTTCTCATGTTCTTATGTATTATTTACAGATCTGAAAGTTATGGATTCGCAACATGTTTTCATTATCCTCATCTACCATTTTATGTTGTCCTTATCTCACAAGTCATCCCTCTTATTCCTTTTATTCCTAAAGTTCCTGCGTGCGTAGTTCTCTCCCATTTTCTTTCTTTCATGTCTGCCAGTTCCTTTGGGGGGTGGGATCCCTTTCAAATCTGTGGTTTCCCCTTTTTATTCAGTTGTCAAATATCACTGTAAGATCTTTTCTCTGTATTTTAGTTATCTTCAGCTTTCAACAGAGCATGAAATAATGTAGAGGAATAAGAGTTGTCAAAGTAACTAAACAGCTGTTCCTATCTGTTTACCCTTCAGTTCGTCGTAATGGAGTTTTACGTTAAGAAACGTGTGTTACATACATTGAACACTCTGGAGGAGCATTTTGAGATGCTGGTAGCTGCCAGGAATGCATCAGAAGTACTTGCGTCAGCTGTCGAACATTTGAAAGAGTTTATTGATGTCACAGAAGGTACAAGCGTTGTATCACACTTCAAGAAATCTATCTGTTGGTTAGGTTGCCAGCTCTGGGTTTGGAAACCCCTGGAGATTTGGGGGATGGAGCAGGGGGAGGGCGGGGTTTGGGGAGCGGAGGGACGTCAGCAAGGTGCAATGCCAAAGAGTCCACCCTCCAAAGCAGCCATTTTCTCCAGGGGAATTAATCTCCATTGTCTGGAGATCAGCTGTAATAGCCGGAGATCTCCAGGCCCCACCTGTTGGTTGACAACCTTAATTGATACCTCTGTGGTTTACCGTGTGTGCGTGTGTGTGCTGGCCATAAAAGCAATACTGGTGGCTGCATTTGAGCACATTTTTGAAGAAGAAGAAATTAGATTTATACACCACCCTTCACTACCCAAAGGAGTCTCAGAGCAGCTTACAATCTCCTTCCCCTTCCCACAACAGATGCCCTGTGAGGTAGGTGGGGCTGAGAGAGCTCTGACTGAGAACTGCTCTTGAGAGAATAGCTCTGAGAGAACTTGTGACTGACCCAAGGTCACACCAGCAGCTGCATGTGGAGGAGTGGGGAATCAAATCTGGTTCTTCAAATTAGAGTCCGCGCTCTTAACCACGACACCAAACTGGCTCTCCAAGTAAGGGCATTTTCCCATCTGTGTTTCATGTTGCTTTCTAAACATTTGGCGTAGACCTAAGGTACAACTGACATGATGTTGGTTTTTGCCTTTCCCCATCTGTAATTCAAACACAAAACTGACAGTGACTGAAATGTTCATTCACTTAAACATTTATTCTCAATCCACCAGGTGTTGGTTCACCTGTGCCCTCAAGAAAATTCAAGAGGCTTGTTGGAACATTAAGTGTGATGTGTGAAAACATAGTGCTCAGATGCCAGTGTTGTGTGGCATTTCAGAGGGATGGAATGGGGGGTGGGAAGAATGGCCTGTAGCCCTTGCCGCCTTCTCCCCAGTTCCAAATTCTTCTTCAGATTGATTGTTGCTGGGGGATTGTCTTGGAGAAGGACAGGCAAACCTCTATTGCTGCTGCTAGGCTTAAGTTGGGAGTCTCCTCAGACGTGCCCTCATCTCTCTTCCTTCTGGGCTCAGGTTTCTTCCAAGGACTCCTGCTGCACCAAGGCAAACCCCAGTGCTCTCCTCCTATACCTTAGAAGGGTTTGATTCCCTACAGCTTCACATGCAGCTGCTGGGTGACCTTGGGCCAGGTACAGTTCTCTCAGAGCTCTCTCAGCCCCACCTACCTCACAAGGCATCTGTTGTGGGGAGAGGAAAGGAATGTGATTGTAAGCCACTTTGAGATTGCTTAGGGTACAGAAAAGCGGGGTATTAAAAACTACTTTTCTTCTAATACCAAAGTCTGAAAATACTATCTGGGGGTTCTATTTTCCAAAACCAAAATATGCAAGCTACAAAGAAGCAACAGCCTTCTGACCAAGTGACTGGAAAAGAAAGGCTTTAAACTGCAATGGGCCCAAGTTGATTGCACATTCAGTGATGTTTGCTATTTTGGATTCTGTTACTAATGTATGATGGGTTTTTTCTTAGGCCTTCTTCTACACCTGAATCACCTTTTCCATGAAGCAGTGTGAGAATACGTATGTTCAAAACAGCTATGTTTAGAATGTTCAATAAAGGGCAATGTTTTTTTTAATAAAATGAAAAGATGCTATTTACGTGTCTACGTCATGTCTGGGTGACAGAATAGTGCAGCGCCTGTGTTTTCCCCACGGGAATGGTCCCGCGAAGAACTATATATCCCCCGCTGGATCAAGGTAAGTACTTGGGAGCCCTGATTGTAAGCCACTCTGAGACTCCGACTGAAGGGCGGGATATAAATCCAATCTTTCTCCTCCTCCTCCTCCTCCTCCTCCTCCTCCTTTCCTATTTGCCAAGAAACAAAAGCTTTTGCAGATCCTGATGCTTAGGAGGCAACAGGAATTATGACCCCTGGGAAGAGTGTAAATTAAGCTCTTTGTGGGGACTTGCTTACATTTCCTCTTGCATGTCTTCAGTTGTGTCTCTAGGTGGAATAGCACATCTTCAAAATGACAGTTACTAGTGGAGTTATTGCTTCTACACCTTTGAAGTTAGCTTACTTTGGGACTGTGGTGTGGGCAGTAGGGATGCCAGCTACAGGTGGGGAAATTCCTGGCGGAGGGTGGAGCCTGAGAAGGGGTGGGGCTTGAGGAGTTGAGGGACCTCAGCAGAATATAATGCCACAGAATCTGCCCTTCTAAGCAGCCATGTTACCCAGGGGAACTTGTCTTTGTAGTCAATTGTAATTCTGGGAGATCTCCAGGCCCCACCTAGAGGTTGGCAACATAAAATTGAAAGGCAAAGAACAAGGAAGGATTATCCCCATTCTGTGAGCCTGTCCACGATTGGCAGTTAAGGCCCTGTTAAGAAAATGTACGCTGTCAGGTATGAGGCTGATGAGCCCACCAGAGAGCCTTTGAAGATGACCGTAGTGGTGAGGCGGGGTTCCTGGTGAGCTACACAGGTGCTCCTGGGCTACAAATAAATTTCTCCACCAGGGAAAACCGCAGTTTCCTGGAGCTTCTTTGGGCTGGGAAAAGATGGGGGTAGGGTTGCCAGCAATGCTCCCTCTAAGCTGTGGAGTCTTGTGAGCAAAAATTCTACTTTGTGAGCTACTGGCATTAAAGTTGTGAGCAAGCCATTTGGCTGCTGCATCAATTAGTTTGCTCTGGAGCCATCCTTCCTGAGCTAAGACACAAAATGTGTGAGCTGGAGGCTAAAAAACGGTGAGGTAGCTCACAGTAACTCAGCTTAGAGGGAACATTTGTTGCCAGGTCCCTCCTGGCAACTGGTGGGGGACTTATTGGGAGCAGAAGGGAAGGCCAAGCTGACACTGCAGTGACGTGTCTTTGTCACTTCTGACGTGACCCAGAAGTGATGTCATCATGCAGTGACTGCAGGCAACACTCTGGTATTTGGGCAAATATTCTACCATAGAGTTTTTGCCCATATACTAGAACATCGACCCAACATCAACGACATGATGACATCACTTCCAGGTCACGTCGGAAGTGACATAGACACATTGTTGCAACGTCGACTGGGCCTTGCTCTTTTTCAGGGTAAGTCCCCCACCACAGGCCAGCTGATCGGTGGTAGGGTGGTGGGGCCTGGTGGCAAGGGACCCCCGCCTCAACTGGAAGGTCTGGCAACCCCAGATGGGGGCCAAGAATTAAGTCCCCTTTTCCTGTGTGCCACGCCTCCAGTCTGAATTAGGCCCTCAGAAGCCTCTGAATCTAAGAATCAGGAACTCTCAGTATGTGTCTGCTTGACAGGACCCAAATGGACCCAGGGACAGATCCAGGAACTACATTATTCTCTAGTTTCCACAACTTTGAAAGCATAGCGGCATCCTACCTAGTTTTGCCAACCTCCAGGTAGGGGCTGGAGATATCCTGGGGATTACAAATGATCTCTCGGCGACAGAGATGAGTTCATCTGGAAAAAAATGGCTGCTTTGGAAGATGGACTTTATGGCACGATGCCCCACTGAGGTCCCTCTTCTCCCCCAAACCACACTGTCCTCAGGCTCCATCCCCCAAATCTCCTGGTATTTCCCAACCCAGAGCTGGCAACTCTAACCCCAACCCTTTTGCTGCCCATCATAATATGAGGATACATTTGTTCAAAAAGGCCTTTAAATGTAATTCGCTGATGGATCTCCCCTGTGATTTTCTCTGTCCTTTTGGTAGAATGCTCCTGATTCCATTGTTGTTTTGATCGATGTTCTCAGGAGTGATTTTTTTCCTCTCATTTATGTGATTAGCTTTAGGCGTTATTCTTTTTTGGGAGGGCTGGTGTCTTTTCATTACTTGAAAACTATTTTGGGTATTCTTGAATGGCAAAGTTGTGATAGGAGCTCCCTAAGTAAATAAGTAAAACAAAGATGGTGCTTGCTTGTCCCCCAGAGGTCTGGATTGTCACTACCTTCACCACCTGCCTCACCAGCGTCAGCTACGTGTTCCACATCTTGGCTTGCTACAGGTACGGCTGTACTTTATCCCTGACAGTTTGCCAGAAGCACAAGGAAGGATGGAGAGACAGTCTGGGCATCTTCGTACTCACATACGCTGGTTTTCCTTAGCTCACCTGACATGGCTGAACAGGCTTTGCTTTACAGTCTTGAGGCCTAGCTCTTTACTTATCATCTATATATCTCACTGGGGAAAATCAGTCCCGTATGCTGTGGCCCCCACCCCGCCTGCGACCGCCCCTCTACCTCCCTCCTGCTAGACTTAAAGGGCCCTCCAGCTGGTCGGCAGGCCACGTGGTCCCCGTGGATCAGCTGAAGCCGTTTAAATCAGGCAGGAGGGGTGGCCTGATCAGTCGTTGCTCTTGGGGGCGGGGCTTGGGGGCAGGGCTTCCCCTGCTGGCCAGCTGGCTGGGGGCGGATTGAAGCCCCCAGAATCAGGGGAACCCCTGTCTGGACCTGGAGGCTGTAGTGGAAGCTCACTGGGTGATTTTGGACCAGTCACATACTTTCAGCCTAACCTACCTCACAGGGTTGTTAGATAAAAAGGAGGGGAGGAGGATAATGTAAGCTGTTTTGGTCCCCACTGTGGAGAAAAAAATGGGATAAAAATGAAGTAAATTAATAATAAATATAGCTGAAGATGGGAGGTAGATAAAAGGTAGGCTACTGAAAGGCTGAGAAAGAGGATGAGGTAGGGGAACAGGAGAGGGCGCGAGGGTTACTGGGGGAGGGAAACAGTGAAAAGAGAAAGAGGAAAAAGTGTGGGGAGGGGGATACAGAGAAAGTGAGGTGCCACCCCACGAGGCCTTGAGGGTTCCTTCCATGCAAGTGGGCCTGGCCCAGTGGCCGGCACCATGCAACTGGGCCACAGTTTTCCTAGGTAGAGTTTGAGGCAGAGGGGCAGAGAAAGTTAGGTTGGCTGTTGGGTAGGAAGGATATAGGGTTGTCAGCTCGAGGTTAGGAAATTCCTAGAGATTTTGAGGGGTCATGATTGGAGAGGGTGAGGTTTGAGGAGGGGAGGAATCTCAGATCACACCCTCCAAAGTAGCCATATTCTACAGGGGAACTAAGGTTGCCAACCTCCAGGTGGGGGCTGGCGACCATGCAGAATTACAACTGAACTCTGAATGACAGATCAGTTCCCCTGGAGAAAATGGCTGCTTTGGAGGGAGATCTCCAGGTCGGCAAACCTAGAAAGAGAGAAGGAAGCAGGAAAAGAGGAGAGGCTATGGGGGCTTTCAGGAAAGGGAAAGGAAAAAGTAGGGGAGGGGGAATTGAATAGACCCCAGCAAGTCCTTGCATGTTCCCAGCTTTTTTTTTTTTTAAGAATGTTGAAACTGATATTTAAAAATAAATAAATGAATTTCTCTAGAAAACACATGAAGCGACTGTGGGCAGGGGAGAAGCAATTCCTTCCGTTGAGTTCTTACAAACTTTCTCACAGTGTGGTAAGTTTCTGGTCTTATTTTCCGGCTGCTTCACTCTCCATCCCTTTGAGTCCCTTCTAGGGGTGGCCACTCTGGGTTGGTAAATTCCTGAAAATTTGCGGGCGGAGCCTAGGGAGGGCATAATAGACTCCACCCTCCAAAGCAGCCGTTTTCTCCAGGGGAACAGGGGTGTCTGCAAATCAGTTGTCATTCCAGGAGATCTCCAGGCCCCACCTAGGGGTTGGCAACTCTAGCTCCTACTCAAGACCCATGTCTATGGCGAACCCTACCTTAAACTCACACTTACGTCATCCTGCCTATTCTGACACCACCTCATCCTCCCCCCACCCCCACCCCAGACCTCTCACTGTCAGTTCTTGGACCTCACTTTCATGCTTAATATCAAAGCACTCTAGACAAGGTAAAAGCTAATTAGGATGTTGTTAATTGATGGGGCTGAGAGCAAAAGAGAACTTGCTTGTTGTTTTTAAAGGACCAAACGGCGGTGTTTGTTCTATCTTCTAGTGAGAAGGCAGTCAGGCTGAGGTGTTGGTGATACGCCACATGGGCTCAATGAACAGGGTTGCCAAGGTCCTACCTGGCTGCCAGTGGGGGGGGGTTCAGCGTCTTAACCACTTGAGCCACTGCAGCTTCATAAAAGCTAATTAGGATGTTGTTAATTGATGGGGCTGAGAGCAAAAGAGAACTTGCTTGTTGTTTTTAAAGGACCAAACGGCGGTGTTTGTTCTATCTTCTAGTGAGAAGGCAGTCAGGCTGAGGTGTTGGTGGTACACCACATGGGCTCAATGAACAGGGTTGCCAAGGTCCTACCTGGCTGCCAGTGGGGGGGGGGCTCCTGGTTCGTCCTTGAAGATCTTCTGGCGTGTGTGCCACGATGATGTCACCAGAAGTGATGTCATTGTGTTTCCAACATTGGGGGGAACACTCCAGGTTTTGACCAAAATGTATGGGTTTTTTTTGCACAAAACCCCCCCCCCCAAATTCTTCAACGGAGCAACATCCCTAGTCAAACCCTGATGCTAAGTAAGTTTGGAAGGTACCTTGAGATTTGATATGCTGAAGACTATGAGTCACTAGCACTTCCCTTATCGGAGTGAACTGCAAACGTTCATTTACAGAGGAGACAGTAAAAAGGTACAAATGGAGAGAACATAAGGTTGGGGTTTTTGCTGTCAAGTCACAGCTGACTCATGGTGACCCTGTGGGGTTTTCAGGGCAGGAGACATTCAGAGGTGGTTGTGCCTCTGCCTGCCTCTGCGTCATGACCCTGGACTTCCTTTGAGGGTCTCCCATCCAAATACTAACCAGGGCCAGGGCTATTTTTGGGCAGGAACGCACAGGAACGGAGTTCCAGCTGGCTCCCAAGTTCTTGGCTATCCAGGTCAGGGTTAAATCCCCACCCTCAGCCTTTTGATATTATGAAACCAATGTGCTTCTGTGCATTGCCCCATTCAGGGGGATCTCATTGTTGGTCACACCAGGGTGTGACAGAATGTCGACAACTGGCATATCTATCTGTCTGTCTATCCACCCCCCCAAATGTGGCAGTATTAAATAATCACTCCACTTTGATGTTTTATTAACTTTTCATTAAAAAAATTATATCCCATCCCCAACCCTCCCAAAAGAGGCATCTGTATGTTAATAGGCTTCTCAGCTATAAACTACAGTCTGCTGAACAAGATGGGGTGAATAGGGCTGATGAATCTGTTTTCTTTCTCCGTTTTAACACCTGCAGGCAGCAATAGCAAGATACTCGGGCTGGCAAATCGCATACCTTTTATGGGGTACGTGAAGGTCTGTGCCGGGGCAAGCGTTTGGGGCGAATTCTTGGGGCTACCGTTTTCTCTCTCTTTTTAATAAACAACTTGGCTTCTCTTTTTCAGGGTACCTGATCATCCACATTGTGTCCACCGTCTTTGGAGTGATCCTTGTGTACAGTTTTGTTTTGCTCATAAAACACGGCCAAGTGTTAGAAATTGTGAAAGGCTTGGGAACTGGGATGTAAGTGCATTTGGCTAGTACGGGCAAGTGACTAAAAGGCAGAAGGGGGAACTGGGGAGTCCCTGGTTCAAATATTGCACCTGCTATAAATTCACCTGGTTGCCTTTGGCCCACCTTTATCACTCAGCTCCTTCCTCCGTTAACAATATGAAAGTAATGATGATGACCCACCTCACAGAGTTGTTGTAGGGGCTGCCAGAGTTGGCAACCCTAATCCCCTCTCTTTCCTGACTGTATTGTTTTTCCACTTGGTGGGAGTTTAATGTAGGCTTCCCCCTCTGCGGTATGCCTGAGAGCCAGTTTGGTGTAGTGGTTAGGAGCGCGGACTCTGATCTGGGAGAACCAGGTTTGATTCCCCACTCCTCCACATGCAGCTGCTGGTGTGACCTTGGGTCAGTCATAAGTTCTTTCAGAGCTGTTCTCTTAGGGGCAGTCCTCGAAAGAGCTCTCTCAGCCCCACCTACCTCACAGGGTGCCTGTTGTGGGGAGGGGAAGGGGAAGGAGATTGTAAATCACTCTGAGACTCTTTTGGGTGGTGAAGGACAGGGTATAAATCCAATTTCCTCCTTCTCTTCTCCTCCTCTAATCACCTCTTTTTCCGTACTGTACTGGTTTTCTACTTGGTGGGAGTTTAACATAGACTTCCCCCCTGTGATTTGAATTGGTGCAGTCCCTCCCATTACCTCAGCATTCTCCCACCTGAGTTCCACCTTAGGGTGCCAACTCTGGGTTAGGAAGTCCCTGGTGATTTTTAGGGGTGGAGCCTGAGGAAGGGATATAATGCCACATTTAAGTCCGTTGTTCAAAGCAGCCGGTTTCCTCCAGGGGGAGCTCCATAGTCTGGAGATCAGCTGTAATTCTGGGAATTTCCAGGCCCCACCCGAGAGCCAGCCTGGTCAAGAGCCGCAGACTCTAATCTGGAGAACTGGGTTTGATTCCCCACTCCTCCACATGAAGCCTGCTGGGAGACCTTGGGCCAGTCACAGTTCTCTCGGAACTCAGTTAAGTGGGCTACCTCACAAGGTGCCTGTCATGGGAGAGGAACAGAAGGCGATTTGTAAGATGCTCTGAGACTCCTTTAGGTAGAGAAAAGCGGGACATACAAACCCACTCTTCTGCTGTTGCTGCTGCTGATTCTGCTACAGAGGAAGCCAGGACTCAGGAACTGGCTTTTATGCCTATGAGGTCCTTTTGACCCAGGGCTCTCTTTGACTCCAACTCCTTTTCATTTGATGATCATCTTTTCAAACCAAAACTCTCTCTCTCTTTTTTTGCTTCAGCCTCACAGTTGGCATTATGGTAGGCCTCATGGTGCTGCAGGTTGCGATGGCCACAAGGTTCTTTCTTCAGCCAAAGATTTTACTGGATGACAAGGAAAAGCCGTTGGCTCTTGACAACAGGTAACTCTTACAGATGCTTCCAACATTTTCCACCGTGCCAAATGATCTCATTTCCAGATTGCATTCAGAATTCTCCTTCATTTATGTATTTAATTTATGTTATTTTAATTCATATCCCATCATTCTATGCAGAAGGACCACCATGGCAGGTAACAAATTAAAACGTACATAATAAGATCACATTTTTAAAACCATTAACCCCCCCCCAACACAGATAATTAAAAACAGAGCTAAAATGCAAAGATGTAAGAACAACAGTTAAGAGGTTTTTATACCCTACCTTTGCCTACCTTTAAGGAGTCTCAAAACAGCTAGCAATCGTCTTCCCTTCATCTCCCCACAGCAGGCACCTTGTGAGGCAGATGGGGCTGAGAGAGTTCTGAGAGAACTGTGGCTGCCCAAAGGTCACCCAGCAGGCTTCATGTGGAGGAGTGGGGAAGCAAACCCAGTTCTCCAGATCAGAGGCTGCCACTCTTAACCATTACGCCACACTGGCTTTCCTAGGGAGAAAGTTCCAGAGCTTTGGTGCCATGACCAAGAAGGCCCTTTCCCAAGTTGCCACCTGCCTAATCTCAGAAGGTGGGGGCACCCTAAGCGGGGCCTCCAAAGATGACCATAATGCCCAGGTGGGTCCCTAAGGGAGCAGGCAGTTCTGCAAGTACATTGGTCCCAAACCGTATAAGGCTGTAAAGGTCAACATCAACACCTTGAATTCTAGGGTTGCCAGCCTGCAGGTGGGGCTTGGAAATCTCCCAGAATGTCAACTAATCTCCCAACTACCAAGATCAGTTTCCCTGGAGAGAATGGCTGTGTTGGAGGGTGGACTCTATGGCATCATACCCACCTAAGATCCCTCCCCTTCCCAAACCCCACCTTCCACAAGGTCCACCCCCAGGAATTTCCCAATCCAGAGTTGGCACCCTAAGAATTGTGCCTGGAAACGAATTGGGAGGGAGCCAGTGTAGGTGGGCCAGCTCAGGAGTGATACGGTCCTTGTGACTAACTCCAGTCAACATCCTCACGGCAGCGTTTTGCATAAGTTGAAGTTTCTGAATGTTTCTCAAGGGCAGCCCTATGCAGAGTGCATTGCAGTAATCTAATCTCGACGTATTCAGGTCTTGTGCATTATCCCATTATTGTTCCCAGTGCGCATCACATTTATTTATTTTATTTCTTCGATTTATAGCCTACTGCCCCCCACTATCGTGGGGCTCAGACTGGGTCACAACATACAACGAGCAAATTACAATAAACTTAAAATCATACCAGTTTACAACAATTTTCCAGATATTTACAATTTATCAGACGATACCTAATAAATACTATAACATGCCCAGGGGAAGAGAAGGCGAAGGAAGAAGTAGGAGAATCTGTGCGGTGGAAATTCTCCCGACCTTACCCATATGCCGCTGCCCCCCACTATCGTGGGGCTCACAACGAGCAAATTATAATAAACTTAAAATCATACCAGTTTACAATAATTTCCAGATATTTACAATTTATCAGACGATACCTAATAAATACTATAACATGCCCAGGGGAAGAGAAGGCGAAGGAAGAAGTAGGAGAATCTGTGCGGTGGAAATTCTCCCGACCTTACCCATATGCTTGGTGGTACATTTCCATTTTACAGGCCCTGTAGAACTGTATCAAGGGTCCCACAGGGTCCAGATTGCTTTTGGAAGCACATTCCACCAAGCTGGAGCCACCGCCAAAAAGGCTCTGGCTCCAGTTGAAGCCAGGCGAATATTCCTTGGTCCCAGGGTTGTCAGTGTGTTGTTGTTGTTCAAGGAACGTAATACTCTTTGTGAGTATGCCAGGAAAGGCGGTCCAGAAGATACGTTGGTCCCAGACCATGAAGGGCTTTAAAGGTTAAAACCAACACCTTGAACTTGATCCGGTATTCAATCTGGAGCCAGTGCAACTGGTGGAGCACTGCTTGAATATGTGCTGTTGCAGGGGGTTCCTGTAAGGACCCACACCACCGCATTCTGGACCAGTTGTAGTTTTCGGGTCAATCTCAAGGGTAGCCCAACCCAGAGCGAGTTATAGTAATCTAGCCTAGAGGTGAACATTGCATGGATCACTGTGGTTCGGTCGGGGCGAGAGAGGAAGGGTGCCAATTGCCGGACTTGGCGTCGATAGGAGAATGCCAGCCTGGCCACATTTGTGATCTGGGCCTCCACTGAAAGGGGGGCATCCAGAATCACACCCAAACTCTTCACTGCTGGTGCTGTTGTTAAAGGGACATTGTCCAGAGTTGGGAGTTGGGTACCCGATCCCACATTTATTTGTTTAAATTATACCCTTCCCTCCCCGCCAAGGCAGGCTCAGGGCGGCTTACAGATATTTGCAGTTCCCCTCAATTCATTGATGTTTCCTGCACACATGTGCACTGATGAAACACCCCACAAAAGGATGTGATTGGAGGTGAGGGACAAGGATGGTTGGGGGGTCCTGGAAAGCAAGCCCCGTGAGGAAAGGCTTGAGGGACCTGGGAATGTTCAGTCTGGAGAAGAGGGAGTTGAGGGGGGACATGATTGCTCTCTTGAAGTATTCGGAGGGCTGTCACTTAGAGGAGGGCAGGGAGCTGTTCCTGTTGGCAGCAGAGGAGAGGACTCGCAAGAATGGGTTTAAATCAGGGCTATTTTTGGGCAGGAACGCACAGGGACGGAGTTCCGGCTGGCTCCTGAGTTGGCCACGCCCAGCAGGAACTCATTAGCATAATAGGCCACACCCAACAGCAGAAACTCATTCGGATTGGCTACATTAGGGGTGTGTGGCCTAACATGCAAAGGAGTTCCTGCTACAAAAAAAGGCCCTGGGTTTTGACAACAAACAAGGTAAACAGAATAAGAAGCAAAAGGTGGGTGAGGCTGGATAACCACACTTCTGGTAACATGGGGGTGCGGCCTAATGTGCTAATGAGCTGTGCTGTCAGGGGTGTGGCCTATTATGCTAATGAGTTCCTGCTGGGCTTTTTCTACGAAAAGAGCCCTGGTTTAAATTAAGGGCAGGAAGGTACCAGCTGGATCTTAGGGAAAACCTTTTTACAGGAAGAGTTGTGCAACAGTGGAATCAGCTGCCTAGGGAGGTGGTGAGCTCCCCCTCACCGGCAGTCTTTAAGCAGCGGCTGGACGAACACTCGTCAGGGATGCTCTAGGCTGCTCTTGCATTGAGCAGGGGGTTGGACTGGATGGCCTGTATGGCCCCTTCCACCTCAGTGATTCTATGATCCTATTCATCTGGGAGTAGCAACATAAAGCCACCAATATTTGTCTTTTTTTGTGCAGTGTTTTATTATTAAGGCACAAGTATGCTTCTGTGTGTCTGAAAAAAACGACTGTACAAAACAAATCTTGACACTATCGTAATATGACCGTGTTAGGATTACTTTTTTGCAGTGTTTTACATCAATATCAAAATGCCCATCGGTAAAGCAAAGGGGATGGGAGCAGTGTTCCCTCTAAGCTGAGTTAGTGTGAGCTAGCTCACAGTTCGTTAGCCTCTGGCTCGCACATTTTCATTTTAGCTCAGGAAGGATGGCTCCAGAGCAAACTAATTTATGCAGTAACCAAATTGCTTGCTCACAACTTTGATGCCAGTAGCTCACAGAGTAGAATTTTTGCTCACAAGACTCCGCAGCTCAGAGGGAGCATTGGGTGGGAGATGCAAATGAGCTGAAAGAACTGAAATCTATCGCAAACTGTGCCTGCTTCGATGCCAGAACTAATGTTAGAAATTCTCCTCGTTAAATCAGAATCCAGGAAAACCAGGATTATGGGGCAGAGTGACATTATAGAACAGAAAGGAACGGAACACGGAACATTCTCTCATTCTTAGTAACTGTCAGAAAGCTGGGTGACATTTCTCTGGCAGGATTTGTGCATCTTTAATCTCTGCCTAACAGGCAGATGAAGCACTCCGAGGTCATTAAAAAAAAAGTTCAGTCTTTCCCTGTTGTGCAGATGTGAAAGTCAGAGGAGCCCGGCTAGAAAAATAATTGGCATTTGTACCTGAGAGAGATGTTCTTCCGTGTTATTCAGTGTAAGTTCTCCGACAGAAAGGGGCCTTTAGCAGTGAAGCTGTGCATGTTGAAGAAGCCCTTATAGCCATGTGAATTTCTCCCGTGTTGTATTTTTAGGAAAGCATTCCACAATTTCAACTACTTCTTTTTCTTCTACAACGTCTTACTGGGCCTGAGCGCCTGCCTGTTCAGGCTGTTGTGCAGTGTGGTCGTGGGAGCCTGGCTGATTGCTCGCATTGACAGGACGATCATGCCCAGAGGGTATGAAGCAGCCGATATGGGTAAGACCCCGGCCCTGGTCTGCTCTAGCGGCCCTGGTCTGGAAGCTTTGCAAATACTCCAGATTAACAAACTAACAACCCCTCTCTCTCGATGCTGTAAGCTCGGATTGGTTTAATAGGTCTTAAAATCAACTAAAACCTCGGTTGACAAAATGGTAGGAGTGAATTTCAATGACTGGAGCTACGAGTTGATGATAGACTTGTCTGTGTTTGGAGGCAGCTTTGGTTCTAGCATCTGGAAGAAACTTTTATGGGAGTCAACAAATTAATGGGGGAAAAGAGGAGTTACAGCCGAGACTAATGGAATGACCCAGAGCCAGTGAGCACCATGGAAAAGAGAACTAAATGAATGAATGAATCAATCAATGCACTGCTTGAAAGGCCATCGATTAATCATCTAAAAAATCCTGCATTGGTTGACAGTCCATGTCCATCCCACCGGGTGACCACCAAGTGATCAGGGTCAATCCTGGGAGACAGGAAGAGGCATTTTTTAGTTCTTGACCAACCATCAACATTATCTGGGGCTGCGGGGGGGGGGGCACCTCTGCTATGAGTCTGTACGCTTTGTTCTGTAGAGCTACCGAGAAACAGGGTGGATTCATCATCTCTGGCCCATAAATTTCCAACCAGACTATTTGGGGATCCAGCTGCTTCTCCTCTGCTCCAGATGTTTTCTGCTTACTGGGCTTTGACTGACTTGGAGAAGGGAACGGCTGGCTGGGTCTCCAAAGGCTCCAGCCAGGGCGGCAGGAAGAGGAGAAGCCCTGACCTCCCACCCTTTCCTTGGCCATGGCATCGGAGGCCAACCCTTTTTATGTTGTGCTTTCTCCAAGGCGTTACAGCCGAGACTAACGGAATGACCCAGAGCCAGTGAGCACCATGAGTTTCGGCACATACAATCTGGGAAGCCTCTAAAGCTTTTATTCGAGGCCACTGCATTTCCCTACTTGCCTCTTTCAGAGCTCAGAAATACAACTCCAGTACAGAGTATGTCTAATCTTGCTGGCTGTCCGTAGGAAACATTGGTACCTCCTCAAAGCAGAAATAGAGAGTGTTTGTCATGTCTAGTTGTCCTTTGCCTGTCAAGAAGAATTACTATTGTTTCATTGCAGGATTCAGGACCTGGATTGGAATGCTCCTGATGGATCACTACCACACAAATCCCACCCTTGTCTGTTTTTGCCATATCCTTGTGGCCCAAAGCAGAGTGAGACATCAGCAGAGAACCACAAGTTACCACTGCTTCAGTAATGACACAGGTAGACGCTGTCTGTCTGTCTATCTATCGGTAAATGTCAGACACACAAAATTTCAGATTGACATTTTATCAATAATGGTTTATGTTTTAGCATGGCAGTAGGAAATGCCAGAAAATCCTGATGCTTACTGGTAAATCTCAAGGCTAGCTAAATGCCTCTGGGATATTATCAAATGTCATCTGCGCTATCAGCGTTAACCAAGGCACCTTCCGTCTATCAAATGGATGGGCTAGATATATATCGCATATCCAAAGCTATGCAGATATGAGGTAATGGCAGTGATTTGGCCACACTGATACCTACTCTGATCACATCCAGTTTAGACTACTGTAATGTGCTTTCTGTGGGGCCGCCTTTGAAAACTGTTCAGCAGTTTCAGTTGGTCCACAATGTGGCAGCCAGGTTATTGTCAGGAGCCAGATACAGGGATTGTATCACCATTGTGCTGAAAGAGGTCCATTAGTTTCTGGGCACAATTCAAAGGGCTGGTTCTTGCCTGTAGAGTCCTAAATAGCTTGGGGCCAGGGTACTCGAAAGACCACCTCCTCTTATACTGTCCAGCCTGCCAGTTAAGATCCTCTTCTGTAGATAGGGTTGCCAGATCTTACCTGGCTTGCAGTGGGGGGCTGGGGGACGGTCCCAGTCCTGGAGATCTTTGGCATGCACGCTTTGCACGTGTGCTGTGATGACATCACCTGGAAGTGACGTCATCGCGAAGGGCACGTTGCAGGGGACGCTCTATCATTTAAGGAAAAACTCTGTGTTAGTGTGTGTGTTCCTTTAAATGTTTGGTTGGAGTGCAGTGTTAGTAGAGTGATTGAGAGAGACAAGTGTGTTGTGATTGGAGGATGACTGGGAGTGGGAGGAGTTGTTTGGAGTGAATCATCATGCTGGGCATATGTTGGCACACACGAGGCTCTTGGGGGGCGGGGTTCCCCCACTGGCCCGATCAGGGGCAGCGGATTGGAGGCTGCAAAAGTGGGTAAACCCCCTGCTCCTTCGGGGGAATGGGAACCCTATTTGTAGACCGGCTCTCTGTGACCTCACGTGCAAAGGTAAGGCAGATGGTGACCAGAGAAAGGACCTTTTCAGTGATGGTACCTCCCCTTTGGAAAGCATTCCCCCTTGAGGCCTACCTTGCATCTACTTTGCTTTTAGCAATAAGCTTTAAAAAAAAATTGTCCCTCCAGGCTTTTAACCAGGGGCTTATTGTCTTCCTTGTATGCTGCCTCGAGCCGGTCACTAGAAATGGCATTTCCCCCCTAAATAAATAGTGGTGATTATGCTTGATTCATCTAGGAGCCAGTAGATGGGGTGTCCTTAAATGGCAACCTCTTTGGAAACAGTACCCCCTCAATAAGACGTACCACTTGCTTTCTATAAGCATGAAAGGAAAGGGATTTCCACTATGTTGGCATTAAATGCTGATGTCCTTATTTCGTTTCAGATTTTAGGGTGTCGAAGAAAGCCAAGATAAGATGGCAGCTCCTCTACACCCTCCTGAACAATCCCAGCCTCTCAGCATTCAGGAAACCAAAATGATGGGCATATTATATGGATGTTATTTTGGCGTGGGGGAATCGAAACCAGATTCCTCGAGACCACATCACCACACGCCCTCAGGAATCACACGGAACTACCATACACTCAGTGGGATTGTTCTTCTGTGAAGTCTTAGAACTGATGAGCGGCAGCTTCTCAAGATCTTGGAAAGGGGTCCTCGGCAGCCTTCCTCTCCAGATATCTGGGACTGAACCCGGGCCCCTTTGCATGCAAAGTGAATGTACTACGACTCACATGCCCTCTGGTCTCCAGAGTGGCTGTTACTAGAGGAGCGTGTGATGAAGATCACCAAGTAATACCTGCTACGGATTGCTTGCAGTGATGTTCCTCCTGTAGTCTTTGGTCCGTATGTACGTACGTGCCGTCAAGTCGCAGCCCGCTTATGGCAACCCCAGCAAGGGGCTTTCGAGCCGAATGAGAAGCAAAGGTGGGTTCCTCTTGCCTTCCTTGGTGGTGGTCTCCCACCCAAGTACTGACCCTGTTTAGTTTCTGGGATCGGGCTATACAATGCTGCCTTCCCTCCACAGGGCTCTGTACCTTGCTGCTGTTTTGTATGTAGGACTCCTGTGAAGCCTCACAAGGTGGGGGAGGCTCAACTTCCGTCCTTTCCGCATTTGCCTGCCACTCCGGATCTTCTCAGTGTCCGCAATGTTTTTTTAATATGTTTTAAAATCATCATTAACAACAATGTACATCAAAAGCATTAAACAAGCAACAACAGATAAGGATCAAGTCAGATCAAAAGCCTGTTATGTAACAGTAAAAACTATTGTAACTATTTGAACATTTGTCAGCCAATAAGAAAAGGTAAGGAGTGCTGGTAATTATGCTACCTCTATCAGTAAGGCAAGTGTGAAGACTAGATTAGAAGATTTTTGTACAGTGTGTACAGTAGAGAGCTAGAAGAAAAGCCAAGAAGAGTAAGTAGTGTTGGTGGGAAGAAGTTCAGCTGAGTTCAGTTGAGGCAATTTAAGTCCTCAGCAAAACAGTATCCAAATAACCTGGGGCAAGGGCACGCTGAAACCGGGCTGACCACTGAAGGGAGGGAATGTAATGCAGAATGGGGGGGGAGGAGAGACTGCAATAAAAAGAACATTGAATTCAATTTTAGTGCAGAATGGGGGGTGGGGCTGGAATAAAAGGAACATTGAATTCCATTTTAGTGCAGAAGGGGGGGGGTGGAAACCTGGATTAAGAAGAAGGTTGAATTCCATTTTAGTGCAGAATTGCTTGGAGGACACCACGGTGAACATGGATTAAAAGGAGAGTGCGGAAAGGGCCTTAATCTAACCGCAGGCATCTTTTGAAAGCTTTGTCCTTCCCATCCAAAACTGCGTCAAGACTCTGTTATCAGAAGCAATGTGCCGTGACCACACATGGCGGTGGTGTCGCCATTACTGCCGCTATATATCAAAAGTGCCCCACTTCCAAAAGCCGAGGGTACGTATATTTGGAATGCATCTGAAATAAAGGCCTTCTGACTGGCTTGTGAGAACCCTTTGCAATTCAAATGCAGTTTATGGAAAGGTGACCGGCTGTTACAAAAATACCTTTGTGCATACCGATGTTGGTGGTTTAAACAGGACGAAAAGAAGGCAGGAAAGAACTATTATTCGTTTGTGTATCACACCACTGAAGAACACTGGCACGTTGCCCTGGGATACGGACCAAAGAACAAAGCCCATACGTATAATGGAGTGATTCTGATCCAAAAGAATAAGTTGTGACAGACGTGGATATCTGTTTATGGCAGGGCTAATAACTTGTTTCTGTTAGACAGAGGGAAGAAATCCACTGGGGTGAGGAAACACATTTTCTGACTCTCGATCTCTGGATTTTCTACTGTCTTGTTTGTGAATTCCTGCTGCCGAGAGAAGCTGCAGCCAGGACTCCATCTGTCCACTGGCAGCTGAAAGAGGAAAGGGCCTGTAGCATTCCCTTTTCCAAGTCTGAAGAGCAGAACACCGCCGATAATATCTGTGCAGGAGACACAGGCAGCGGGAAGAGGAGGAAGCAGTGCCGTCGCTCTCCTCCCCCATGGGCCTTGCATTTAATTAGCGTCCTAATCATTTGCATCTTAATTACTATTCATCATTATTCTCCAATCAGTTATTCATGTATTCACCTTTATTTAATGACACGTTTTCATTTTAGGTTACGCGTTGATTTTTTTTTTTTGTCATTCGCCGAACATATCTCAAATATTCAGGATGTTGTTAACAGGAAACACTTTTTTGTGTGTCATAGTCTTCACTATGATGTTTCAGTTATGTCGCACTGCAGTGATTATGTTGTGTGTATATCTGTCTTGATGGGGGTTGGGTGGAACACCATGGCATTATGGTCTGCTACTGGTGCAATCCTTAAGGGTCACCATATAAGCAACCAATCAGCTGTCCTGGCAGCCTGGATAGTCCAGACTAGCTCAAGTTAGTTAGTTAGAAGTTGGAAGCTAAGCAGGGTCGGCCATGGTTAATACTTGGGAGGGAGACCACCAAGGAAGAAGAGTTGTTATGCAAAGGAAGGCAACGGCAAACCACCTCTGTCTGGTGCAGTGGTTAAGTGTGCGGACTCTAATCTGGGAGAACCGGGTTTGATTCCCCCACTCCTCCACTTGCACCTGCTGATGTGACCTTGGGTCAGTCACAAGCTCTGGCACAGCTGTCCTTGAAAAAGAGCAGTTTGTGTCAGAGTTCTCTCAGCCCCACCCACCTCACAGGGTGTCTGTTGTGGGGAGGGGAAGGAGTTTGTAAGCTGCTCTGAGACTCCAAGTGAAGGGCGGGGTATAAATCCAATCTCTTCTTCTTCTTCTTCTTCTCTCTTGGCTTGAAAACCCCATGAGGGTTTGCTGTAAGTCGGTTGCGACTTGACGGCAGTTGATTACTATTAATGGCCATTCAGACACCTCAATGAATTCCTACCGTCATTCAAAAGCAGCTAATGGATTCCAGTCGTCATTCTCTTGACCTTTCTGCTCGTTTGTCCCCTGGGAGTGAAGTGTTTCAGTGCTTCACAATAGGTCAGCTGTCCTCTTGTCACAAGAAGGTCTTCCCCCCTCAAAAATGTTTAAACAACTGGCAATATGAATTTCTCAAATTAGAGATTGGCACTGGTGCGAACATAACTCTTCATCGCCTTGCTTTCAGTTCAATAGCCGGTCCTCCCAGTGAAGCACGCGCAGCCTGGAATGATGTCGATCTTTCTTTAAAACGCCAGTGATTGTAACGGCCCTCGTAATGATCGCACGTGTAGGATTGCAAGCTTCATTTCAAGGGAGCAAGGAATTCAGGCTGAAATCCTTGAATTCCCAGGAGGCGTTTTGCTAACAAGTAGGGTTGCAGTCCCAGGAAAATTGTATCTTCTCAGAGAACACACATAAGACTTAACTACACTACACCAAACTTAACCACTACAACAAACCCCTTGCCTGTTTATAAAGCCTGTTAAGTCTGCAGTTGGGACTACAGAGATCAGTCCTGTCCCCCCAAGAAAATGGCACCTTCGGAGGGCAGAACTCTACGGCATCACATTCTAGCTGAGTTCCCTCCTCTCCCCAGGCACACACCCCAAGTCTCCAGATGTTTCCCAGGCCAGAGATGGCACACCTAGGAAGGGAGAGAGGAACCTTGGGACATGATGCTGGAAGAATGTTAGCTGGGGCTGGTTCTCTGTACAAGTGACTGCTTGGGTACCATGAAAACTGGGTTTGCTTCAGGCTGGGCCCTCTGTTCCATTGCTGTTGTTTCATTCCTCTCTCCTAATGGAAGCTGGCCACCTAGCCAGTTGGAGGACTTCTTTATGGCTGTCCTCCAAACATCCATTATGCTCTCCCTTCCCCGTACTCAAACGGAATTAAAGAGTTTCAGAAGTACTCCTTTTCCCAAATGGTCTGTCTGTCTCTCTCTCTCTGCCTTGTCACTGATTGCCGCTGTACAGAGACATGCAGAGAATCTAGGATAGCTCTTAATTGAACTCTCTGATTTCTTCCAAGAAGCTTCACTCTTGAATGCAGATTAAATACATCTCTATAGACGCCTTCCAATTCCAGCCCATTATGAATGGGCAAGTCGTCTGGCGGCTGCTGCAGATGGAGTTTCTAGGGCTGGGAAATTCAGGGGCAGGAAAGAGCTTTTAGAAACTTGATCAAGCATCAAAACCAACATTTAAAATGGGTTTTGTATGCTTGGTATGTTTTTTTTAATCCTTAAAGCGTCTGGAGGTTGGCCGAAAGAGGGAGAGCAGGGTAAGTCCGAAGTAGAAGTTTTCTTCTTAGAGGAAATTAGTTGTGGGGTCACCTCCTCTCTGCTTTGAAATCCGAGTTTTCACCTAGAAGCAACCTGCTCTTCAAGTAAGTGTATGGAAAGGAGACTGCAGTTAAGTATTCCGTATGTAAGGTTAAAGCAAGTAAAGATAAAATGTTTTGAACCAGCTCTGTTCCGAGAGTCGGCTCCAGTTCGGAGTGAGTCGAGAACTGTGGCAAGGCTGTTGTAGGTTCTATTCTGCATTAGGAAGACTGTGTATGCGAGGGCCATGTAAGGACGATGTGCCTTTTAATGCACAATGGGGAAGAAAAGAAGGCTACAGCGGTAAGTAGGAGGAAAAAAGGGAGGAAGATACAAGATACAAGGGAGAGTAGTTTATTTGACCTTTCAGACCCCGACATGTTTCATGATGAGCTTCAGAAACTTTGCCAGAGATACTTGTCCAATTTGAGAGTTAGAAAAGTTTCTGCTGAAGCTCATTGCAAAATGCATTGGGATCTAAAAGGTCAAATGAATTACTCTCCCTTGCACCTCGTTCCCCCTTCCCTCCCCCCCTTTTAATACACAGCCAATGACGGGCTGCTCCTCTCGTGCGCTAACTCAATGGCTCCTTCAACTGTTGCACAGCAGACAGGGTCAGCTCGCAGAGCCCCAGGATTCCCCACTTATCTTATGTTCTGAAGCAGAAACGTGGTTTTTCTGAGCGTTTCCGTGAAG